TGTGTGTGTGTGTGTGTGTGTGTGTGTGTGTGTGTGTGTGTGTGTGTATCCACCTGTCATAGGCCCAGCAGGTAGCTCAACTTTCTTTGTAAAAAGTGCACTGATAAGAAGTGGATTATTCCCAGACTCACAGTAAAATCATAAAAAATTCAAAAAGCACATACCAGAGGGACTTCCTGTGTTGAAGAAGCAATTCCAAGGAAAAAAGGAAAGCTATGAACTCAGACCCACTCTGACTAATCTACTGAGAGAGATTCATCTAAAATGCATCTATGTATTTGTGGTGTTTGTGCACACTGTGTGCCAGTGGAGTCAAATACCTTGCTCTGCAATTTCAATTTCTCGACGGCCAAATTCAGCCTGTTTGATGTTCTTCACGCAGAAGTCGCTGCTGCCATGGCTGTTGACCTGGGCTTTGTCCCGGGGGGAGGTTTCATCATCGGAGCTGTCAGTGTAGGATGCAGCTGGGACACGAAGAACACAAAAGGTCACTTTCGAGGTGAAGCACACAAAAGAGCCATTTATGAAATCTATCCTTTATCTATTGTTAAGAAGGTGGAGCGTGTGTGTCTGCATGTGTCGATGTCACGCGTACAATATTTTTATATAAGAGGATAATCACAAATGACGAAAAATCCCATGGGATCGGCGACAGATCCATGGATGAGCATTACACAGTGAATGAAACGCTCCAGTATGAAGCACCTGAGCTGTAGCTGTCTGTGGAGGACTGCGAGATGGACCGTGAAAGGGAGCGCCGGCCCGCCTTGGTCGGGTACTTGCTGAACTCCTGTTTATCCTCAGTATTTGCAAACTGGATCTGAAGACAACCAGAACAAAATTAGACATGATGTGAACATAGAACAACTCAGCAATCCCGACTTTTTTGCGAGCTTCTGCTCGGATTTAGTCGCTTTGTGAGCGATTGAAGTGTCCACGCGGATTTCATTTGGTGGGTTAGAACAAAAAGTTGCATCATCACCACATGTTAATAGTTACTGCATTCAGCCATTTCCATTTAAATAAAGTTTTCATAGTATCTCTTTTTATACTTGGTCTCATTGTGCTGTCCCAGCCACAATCAGCTTGTTACAGGTGGATCAGGAAGAAGGGAGCTGGTGCCTATTTTTAGATGTTCTCTCCTGCTCTGTGATGTATGCTTTGTTCAAATACACAGGCTTGAGTTGTTATTGGTGCTGATTCATCATGTCAACCCAACCCTTCAAAGCGCCCAAGATCAAAGACCTGGAAACACATAAACTGGATCAGCAAACTGTATATTTTCGTGCCTTGCATTCGATAAAAGTCTCAACTTTTCAATCTGTGGGGTTACAGCTCCCGACTGCAAAAGTACATTTATTTTCACAATCGTAAAGCTTGCAGATAAAAAGGGTTTTCAGAAATATACTGTTACAGGACAGTGTCAGGAGTGACTCCATTAGTCAGCGTGTTAGAGAAATCGGACGCCTGCAGGAGCACATCTGGGACCTTGTGATTTTCTTTCATTTCACATCCTATTTTTATGACCTGGATGTCCATCAATATGACTGATGGTGGCGATAAAGCCACCTCTGCAGGATCTATGTTACGTTTAACTTAAAAAAAAGGTTTAAAAAACATTGATACCAATGACATCTCAGCATCGCTTAAAGCCTGGCCTGTGGTGATACAGGGACCCTCTGTGTGCATTTCTCTGTATCTATTTTTCCAAGAATTCCAACCCATGTTTTTGGCTTAGTGTTAAAATCCCTGATAGGACTTTGATGTTGTGTTGCTTGTCTTTCACAGACTGTTTGACGTCAAAACACCATATAATGTCATGCAATCAGGGCACCTTGCAGCTCTTCCTGAAATTCCCCCCTTGTGTCCAGTTCATTTCTGATAATCTGACCGCTTTTATGGGGCTGTTAAAAGGCAGCTTGATGGTAAGTCAGTGAGGACCCTCACACAGTTCCCCCCGGCGTTTCTTCAGGCATTCACTTCCCTGAGATGTTTTCATATACTGTGACAAAGATGCGGGATTCCATTGACCTCGTATTTTCAATGTCCATACCATGTGTTTGGAGTACAAACTAGAAAGCAAGCCGGCTGAGTTGACACAACATACAGCTGATGAATCTAGGAACACACGAATGCCAGACCAAAAACAAAGAGAAGGGTAACATTTGAGTATCATGTGCACTGCAGCACATACACTGACCTAGAACCATGACATGACTAGTAAATCTTAATGATTATGACATTGAGGAGTAACGACACCCCATAAACTCGATACAAAACACACAGAAATTCGTTTCACCATAAAGATGATAAACCATTTAGTCATGTCACGGTCTTTTGCAGCGGGCTTAGTGACACGATTGGCTAAAGCTGTCAGCGAATGAACAGGCTCCATACTAAAGCAGAACATACTAAACCATCAACCTAATCTGTGATCACAGGGGAATAATGCATTCATCTGTTGTAACACTACAGAAAATTATCTCACACTCCGCCTCCCACAACAGTAACTTTATTCACTTAATGTTTATACCTCACAATCACTCTTTCCATGGGCAGTGACACCTGAGATTTAACAACCTACTGTGCAAGAAAAAAGTAACTCAAGAAGCTTGGGAGACCGGGTGATCTGACCTGATCACTGCGTGGCTCTGTTTTCACAACTGAGAACATGGCCAGTCTCATGCTAGTAAAATAGTACATTGATGTTTACTTTGAATTGGTTTGTACAGTTTGTAGCAGACAGAGCAGACATTTTAGACACTGTTCACAGCCAGGATAATTTTTTTCATTATTGAAGCAATAAGGGAGACAGGAGGCTAAACTGATGAATGATGAATAACTCTGTGTAACTGTAGACAGCATTATGCTTTCTGCTTCTCTCACAGAAGCTGCAACAAAAAGTGAACTTTGTGAATAAAATTTTTAGGAAATAATCACAGAAAAAAACATTTTTTTGTCAATGCAAACAAATAGCCTTGAATAACTCAGACTGGTCAACACATGGGATATCCAATATCTTGAGGCAATAAGTGTGTCGAGACAAGTTCGCTGAGGTGCAGGCTGAGCAACTCACCCGCTCTCTCCCGTGCCCATGTTTGTGTGCCATGACCGCCCGTCACTGCCGGCTTTTCTACAGTTTTCCAGCCTACTTCCCTGAGCCTCCGTGTCCTCTGTGTGATGGTACCAGGTGTCCCTGATGCTATTATCCCAGAACACTCCCAGAGCAGAGCAGGGGGGAGGTTCTCACCTATTGTCATGATTTCTAATGGCCAACTTGGAAAGAGAGGAAAAGAGAGGCCTCCACGGGAAGGGGAGGTCGATTCCTACCGAGCCTCCCCCTCTACCTTTTTAGTCTCTTTGGCTCTGCCCTTGACAACCGGCTGCATAAGTCGGTAAGTTTCATTCCATAGTGATTTTCACAAGCGCTGGGAAGACAGTGTACAAACAGGAAAGACATTAAAAAGTGGGTTCAAATTAAATAGGGTCAAACACATTTGTTTCAATGACACCTTCAGCATGTGCTGCTAATTTTGAACACTAAATACTTGGGGATTGACAGGAGGAATTAAATCCTGTGTCCGTTAGCCTTCTGCTACATCAATAGGCATCCTTCTAGCCCCAACCTGCAGCTAAAAATACTCTTTCACTTAGATAGCAGGCCAGGTCACAGACTTAAGCTGCGGAGTGTGACTGTTGGCCAGTGGCGTAAGGGCTCAACGTGCCCCGGACATAAGGCGACACTAACAAACCTCACCTGACGCCACTGGAGCTCCACAGCACCATCTAACTGTAATTCCCCTGGATCGCTGCGACTGAGTAGTTACAATGGCAGCATTCAACAAGTCAGAGACACTCAAGCACAGTGCTTAAACCCTAACACTGGATTCAAGTCAAACAAGGGGTAATTAAAGCAGGACCGAAGAAAACAGCGCACGTCTGGTGGTCTGCAAATGCGCCTCCTTAGATCAACACATGCATGAGCGCTTGCACCGGGTAGTGAGAGAAAAAAAATGCTAATCCTTCCTTTCTCCAGGAATATGTGACCTTTTGCTGAAATTATAACTTCCACAGATTAGTGGCATTACACAGTCATATGGTAGGAAGAAACACAATGGCACGCCACTGACTCGCAATTATTCTCTGATATTTTCACATAAAAGAGGACTATTTCAAATAACCCAGACTGCGGATAACAGAAACTGTGCTTAACCCATCGCTACCTGTACGCGTGTGTGGACGGCGCTTTAGCTTTTAATGGGTTAAACAGGGAAGATCCTCTGTAAACATCATGGGCAAAAGTGAGAGCACAGTTGGAAAATGATGAAACAGGTCAGTATGGATGTGTTGTATTTCGCAGTGTATGGTGACTTTTCCATCAGTCTTTATAGCTGTTCTAGAGACGCAATATATAACTTGTGTAAACTATTAATAAACACCAGAGAAAACCTTATGTCATGTACATCATGTCTGACTACATGAATAGAGAAAAATGTATTTTAAAAAAAATCTATGTACTGTGGGCCTGATAGGACTTTGACATGATAAGCTCATCATCAAACACAAATTTTTCAAACATTTTACTCATCATATTTTCTAAAAGTTTCCACATATTCATTAAAACTTGCCAAGTAAAAAAAGGCTGTCCTTTACAGACCTCCATAATGTTGGCAGATACCATAATGAGATGGAGAAAATAAGGCATGAGCACATTTCAGATTCCATGTACGGCGACCCAAGCCCACAGGGATCAGACAAAAATGATGACGCAGGAGCAGATTCAGAGTGAGTGATTCGCCTTCCCAGAGGGACGTGTTGCATAACTGCTGAATTGATCCAGCAGAGAGGAGGTATAGTAGTGCTTTGACTCACCCACCATCACACTCACACACTCATTCCTCATTTGCAGGATTGATTATGTTTACTCACGGCTCTTTTTGATTATGCAGCAATGCCTCCTATTCGCTCAACAAGCACCTAACCATCCATCCATCCATTTTCTGTTCCACTTATTCCCTTAATAAACATCCAACTCTTCTTTTCACGACTGATCATTCCTGGGTTATAAGCTTGTTTTTTTCCTGAACATTTGCTGTAGCTCTACAACTTGTCCATTTTGCCTTGCAAACAGGTGACTCAGTTTGACGTCGGACTCTCAACACGCTGCTATGTTTTCATAAGCCCAGTGCGCATTCCTACCATCCAATATGTTTTGAAGCAGGCTCCCCGAGGCAGCTTACAGTCCACACATTATTGCCTGTCTGACAGGAGGTCTGAGTTAATGTTTTGACTTCTAGGAACCCTGTTGCTGGGAAGTCGTTTTTTTTTGTTATCAAAGAATGTTTTTCTCCACAATTTTGTGGATATATTTATTTAAACAAATAAACATGTTTTACTTCAGATGAGTTAAATAACTAATAGTAAGTGGGACAGGAGAAATAGTTCCAGGCCAGTGAATGTTTATGTACTTAGCATTTGGGGACAGTTATCGACAGAAATGTAATTAATGTTTCTACCTCTATTTGAACTAGTACATAACTGCATGAGAACAGGATTTGATTTGTATGTTTTCCCTGCTGATTCCTCTCCATAAAGCTTTGCACCATCACATTACTCTTTTATGCTGAGGTGATGCGGAGGATGCTTAAAATATTCAGACGCAGGCAATTCACTCTATCCTTTTTTTCCTGCACTGTGTTAAAGCTTATAAATCATAGTTTTGGTTCAGATAGTCGACGGAGCTGATTCAAATGTGAAGCTGCTTTTAAATCTGCGGGGATCAAATTAGTCACCATAGGTGCCGGCCTGCCTGTTGCTTACCTCTGTTTTTGTTTTCCTGCGCCGGGATTCTCGAGTTGCCACATTGCATAACGTTTCAATTTAGTGGTTGGTTTATGAGTCACTATGAAGAAAATCTACTGTTTAGTCACATATTGTTAGGCAGGAAAGTTTTAATGCTTTTTTTGCAAATAATGAACCAGAGTTAAAAGAAATTATACGCATTTAATCTGTTGTGCCAGATGCTAATATTGCAGAAAAAGTGCATCCTGTAGATGTTTTTGGAGAGAATTACGACAAATGCATCCATAAACTGAAAATGCAGCATATCATTGGTTAAATGTCTGTCTTTAAATACATTCATGACAGCCTCTGTTTCAATATCTAAATCTGTAAAGCTGCTGTAACGTTTCGCAGCGTTAGCTCAAGTATAGCTCAAGGTCGAGCTCCTGAAATCATGACAGTGCGTTCCAAACACAAAGTGCATCACTAAGACAGACTAATCAACACAAATCAAACCTTTCAGAAAAGAGGCAGACTCTGTAGGTGTTTGCTAATTCAAAGGTCTGTGTTAGACACATTCTCAACAAAAGTCTCTACAATAATCATCCCAGGATAGTCGACTAGAATAACTGCATATCTCTATTAGGAATGTTTTCATCTTAATATGCGAGCAAGTTGTTTCTGAGAAACAGAAGAAACATTAAACCAGCAACCGGCCCTGAGTAAAGACTCTTGGCTTAAACATGGTTACATGCTCCCTGCTGCCAGCTGTTACACACCATGTTGCATCTGTGATCCCAGCAGCCAAATGAGAAGGATCTTTTTCTTTCATGCCAATTCATGACAGCCAAGAAATACACAGGTTTTCCCTCACAGGTGCACCGTGGGATGCTAAAACCTTTATATATGAGAAAAAGAGGGGGGGTAAGGCCACACACAGGCACACCTGTAAGGCATGAGTTCATGAAAAACAGTTGTCATTACTTTTGGGATAAACCTTTTTTCTGTTTTTCCTTTTAAAAAAAAAGAGAAGAAGACCACTCTCCTTTTCCGATTGTATGCATTTCTCCACTTTGCTGAGGCCCCAAATCACAGGTTTAAGGGCTCAACTCAGTTTGTAGACGTTTCCTGACTCCAGGATGTTGCTAAGATGTCTACATTGCCATATATACAAACAGAAAAAGCTACATGAAGACAAATGTGACAATAATCCCTCACAATTACACGTTCTTGCCGCAGTAATAATAGTAAAAACTGTGATTAGACTTATGCCGCACGGGGAGAAGATAACGCACAGTTTTCCTTCCATTCTTTGGAATCTGGGCACTTAAACTGGAATAAATAAATCTTTTTTTTTTTTTTTTTAAAGCTCTCTTTGTAAGTTTGCACTGAAGCGTCACCCTGGCAAGTTGGGATGAAAACGATGGCCAAGGCATGGGTTTTGATTCCACCTACACCGCGGATTAGCCAGCCTTCCCCTCCCGCTGAATGCACTGCAGCACTATCCTTCATCCTCCCTGCGCGCGCCCGCCCGCGTGCCCGCGCGCGCGCGCGCTGCCCAGCGGCGGAGCGGCGATGGCCGGGGGCCCCCGCGTCTTACCTTCTTGACGGATTTCATGGTGGGGACTGCGGTGAAGGCTGCGGAGGGCACTTCCCCGACGTTCATGTTCACGTCGCTGCTGTTCTTGCTGACGGTCAGCGCGGAGTATTTTTCCGCCACGTTCTCGGTCTCTTTGACATATTTCGTGGCTTGTTTGACCTCCGCTTTGCCGTCCGCGACCGAGTCAGTCATCGCATCCGAGTGGTGCCGGGAGCTGGAGGTGGAGGTGGAGGTGTTGGTGGTGGTGGTGGTGTTGGTGGGGTAAAGCCGGGCTCCCTGTTGACTTCAGGCTGATGGGAAGCTTTGCCAGTCGCCTTCTTTCTCTCCTCTTAAGCTGCGTGGCTTAAAACGTGCGAGGCGACGAACGAGCAATTAAAAAAACTAATTGGTTATCCGTGCGAAGCACTCACTTTGAGGCAGATCATAAGCTTTGTTTTTTTTTTTTTGCTTCCTTTCTGGATGCTGTCCTCTCTATGTTCTGGGAGAGCTGCACCGGCACTTGTTTCTCCTGTGCAGTTCAGCTGTCAGGCGCAGACAGCAACATCTCCGGCGGGAGGGGGGCGGTTTGTTCAGGCTGTCACCCGAGCCGGGGAACGGCGTGTAGGCGGTGTCAGCCAGCTCTCCCGGTCATTGGAGGGGAAAGCAGACGAGGAACGACCGGATTTTGCCCCTCAGGACGAGTAATTAAAGTATTGGGTTGTTGAATGCGTGGCTCATTTATTATTTGGCGCAGTGGCAAAACGTGAACTTTCCGTTGCCCTGATTGATCTAGTTAAGCTGCCAAGGAGACTGAGCAGGAGACCTGCCTCCTCGAACGGGATTGGCTGACTTTGTGCCAGGCGTCCACAGAACACGCTCTGTGATTGGTTGAGCCTGTGAATCTGGGTGTTTATACCTGGGAGGTGCTGTTCAGGAACAATTCCCTCTCATCCATCCATGTATCTATCCATCCATCTGTCAACTAGAAGCAGGTGCTATCTGCACAAATGAGGGACAAGAAACTTAAAAAGTATACATGACACAAACATTATTGAAATGACTTAAATATACCAAAGGCATATCATTTTTAACCCATGAACAATATTAACAATCATTGCATTAGTGCTAATTTGACATTTTGCACAACTCCTGCAAAGCTTATTCTTAGCTTTTACAATACCCTATACATATCAAAGTAGCAAAAACATAAAAAACATAACCAATATTCAGTGAGTTGATAATGAAAGAAACAGATTGCTGCATCTTAAATCTTTAGTAAAAAAGGAACAAAAAAATAACCTTGAGTCAGTTCATAAAATTTTAATTGACAGGTTTTATGAATGTAACGTCTAACCTCTTTTCTTTATAAAAAATAACATTGCATGACATGCAAATGCTAAAAAAAATATCTACAATGGAAAAAATAAACTTCACGCTAAGGTGGACTGACAGATGAAAATGAACTACATATGTGATGTGATGTAATGTAACACAACTGTTTCTTTGCAAAAAACACAAACTACAAACTGTATAAAATGCATCCACTGAACTGGCATTTATGTCCACACATTAGGGAAGGGAAGACTTTCTGTACAATATCTCCATCAAAACGACATCAGTTTTTGCTCAGTGGATGGAGGTTGGATGTCGGAAGAGTTCAACCACACAGTACATGAGTTCAAACAAGTCCATGTCAATATACAAGGCGTCACATCAATGATACAGAACAGCAGTGTAACGTTAACGCTTAAATGTTTCCGGGGGAAGTACCATTTACAAAAAGGTCAAAAGCAAAGTTTCATCCGGAGAGAAATTGGCATATATCTGTCTGACAGAGTATGGCTTCATGACTGTCACTTCCTCTGTGTGACTGGTTGTGTAAAAAAAAAAGAAAAAAGATGTTATTCATTATTGTCCATATTAATTGACGGAAAAAAAAACAAAAAACAAACTGGTCTTCAATACTCAGCCAGATAAGTTGAGCAAAAGGGTATCCTCCATTTGAATGAAGAACAAAGAAGTCCACTGGCTCAGTGGCCAGCTCCCTGGAAGACCAGTACAGGAGTTGAGCGACAACAGAGAACCCCCAGAGAGATTTTGGTTTAGCGGGGCCGGAAGAAGTAAAAATGAAACTAGATGGGGTTCCGAATGGTTAGCTGGGATGAAGATCCTTGGGTAAGGAAGAGCTCAGACTGCGGTGGGGATGGCGCTGCTATGAGACTCTGATCATCTGAGCCACTGTGTCGTCTGCTGTGCTCTGGGCCAGTTCCTGCTGCTGCTGCACCAACCGGAGACACGTCGGTAAGTCACAAGTCCAGAGCTTAACCGGTATTTCATGCCATCACAGGTTTAGTTTGCCTCCCCGTTTCTTACCTGCGCCAAGGCCAAAGCGGCTTCCTCTTTTTCCTTCGGGGAGAAGAAGCGTCCTCCGTCTCCTCGCTTACGCTGCATTGCGTGGCGGTGGCGAGACTCGTGTAGGTATTTCTGCCATGGAGACAGGAGCGGCCAATTCATCAAAACTGGATATTTGTTTAATTGTTGGTTTGAGATTCACCTTACTGAACATTTTTTTCCATCACATATTTCCTTAAAGGACCTATTTATATTCTAAAGAACATATCTGATTACATACTGCAGTGTGAGAAGAAAAACGTGTTTTCTTATGTGCATCACTAAAGAGCCTCCACAGGATTTTTGTGTAATGTGAAGTAAAGAGAGAAAACTTCTGTATTGTGGAAATATGTCTGAGCTTTTAGAGGTCCATTTACCTCAATAAAAATTTTGGATAACATGGTTTTATTTTGTGAAAACTGACAGCTGGTGCGATTTTTGTTTTTTATCTTTCTGGCCATTTATGTGGTCTTCAATCGAAAACCCTGTTTTACATGATGACCTGCCACTAACGACAGCTGATACACTGAACAGGCCGCCAACACAACCAAAGTCATTCTTTTCCAGTTAAACTGAGAGACAGAACATACCCTCCTCTCTTTGGGGATCTTGCCCTCGGCTTCCAGTTTGGCCCGGGCTTGTCTTCGTTTCAGGATGCGGTGGTACTGTTTGGCATTGACATACAGAGGCTCCTCCTCCAGCATCTCAGCCCCTGGAAGTGGGATACGCTGCATTGTGGGAACTCCGCCACCTCCTGGCACCATCTGATAGACGGGGAAACACAAAGAGGCAAACCCTGCTTAGAGCCCCAGGCCAATGGAAAACAAGCCAACACAAACAAGACGTTGAAATGCTCATGGTTACATCACTGTCACTGATCACAAACCACTGGGCTTGTGCAGCAGACAGCTCTCCCATTTAAAGTCACACTCAACATCCACACAGATGCTTTTATTTTTTTCCTTTATAGACTTTGGTTTGGGCCGATTCTGAGTGGCCTGCAGCTCAGTGACTGAAAATGGCCTCTAGACCTTCCACGCTAATAGGAAGACGTAGAATCACAGAATTTGGTTTTCATTTAATTCACAAAGCACCGTATGTAGATGTTATTTAGGAAACAGAGACATTCAAATGAGTCGAGTTGGAAAGAATGATTGATGTTAGTGGCAATTATTTATGGTAGATTCAAAGGAAAAACAAGTCTAATCCAACTATACAACGGATTAGACATTTGCGGGTGGATTATTTTAAAGGATGGAAGCAAATCTACACAACTTCTACCACAAGTGATTAGTAAAAAGATGTATTATGAGAAAAGGTGTGTTTTAATTATCCCCACTCCCGTGTCAGAGTCTGGATTAGAGAATAATAGATAATGAGATGTTGAGTACCTCTGCACAGGGTCTTACCATGACCATTCCACCTGGATTGACCATGTTACCGGAGACGGGCAGGGTGACGGTCACAGTGCCTTGGCCGCTGTTGGTGGTGTTGGTGTTGGCTCCCCCTGCCTGTACAATTTGGGCTCCTGCCAAGCTGGCAGCTGGAATTGTGATCATTCCTGAACACAGAGGGTGACCACAAATCTTAGTCAGAGCAACAAGCTAACGATTACTCCAGTGTTTCCAAGTTTAGGACGCATGAGGCAAGCACGGAAGTTAACAGAAGACCGGACGCACCCTGCTGGAGGACGGAACCATCTGCGTTGACAGGCTGGTAGACGATGGTCTGCCCGTCAGCCGTCTGGGCCACCTGTTGGCCCTGCACGCTGATCTGCTGCCCCTGTGTCCCAGGAGGACAAAAAGATATTCAAACAACTGACAGAAAACTCAAGCTTTGACTCTGAATACATAAACACAGAAATTAGATTTTTGTAAGCTTCGTCTGTGGAAAGGTTAACACACACGCTGTCAATTAGTGCGGCAGGTGTCTGGATTCAGTGACAAATCACTGCACGCTTTACATGTGAAAGGGATGGCTTTCGCAAATATCTGAATGACAGATGGTGCTGATGTCGGCTGAGCTGAAAAAGATCCTCATCAGACTGAAATGTTTTGTTACACCAGCTGAAATGTCACAGAATTGAGAATCGTTCTCGACTGGCGATTCAGAAAATGTTCTTGAAGTAGAACCCTACCACAGTGCTACGATAGAAACAGAAGCAAGTCATCACAGAGTCACGTCAGTGGTGAACTGGTTTTCATCCGCTGATAAAATGCCACACCTGGTTTTGTCCGGCGGTGATGGCCGTTTGTGGCTGCTGGATGATGATTTGCTGGGGTTGACCTTGCTGACCCTGGAGCTGAAGCGTCTGCCCCCCTTGTAGCTGGATCTGACCGGGCTGCACCAGCTGGATCTGCACATGACACAGTTCGTACCATCTGTTAGGTTCATATTATTGGTCAATAAGGTTCATTCACCACAAATGTAACAGCAAAAAGCTTCAAGTGCAAGAAAACACATTGATGGCCATTTAAATTCAGAAGCACTGAGGATAAAAAATATAACGTGCTATATGGCCATAGGTTTCTCAATGAAAACCAAACAGAAGGAAACCATCTCAGATGTTTCCAGTCACTAATGTTCCTGTTCCAAACAAAATCCAGAACCGGGTCTCTGTGGATGAAACGAGCCTTGCTGTGTACCTGCTGTAGTCCTTGAGCTCCGGACACAGGAACCTGCATTATGGTTTGCCCCTGACCCCCTGACATGGCTTGCACCATGATCGGTTGCCCAGAAGAAGTGATGAGCTGTCCTCCGCTCACCTGGACCATCAGGGGCTGACCCTGAACCTACAGGGACGAGAGAGAAGCTGTTAAAGCACCGTCCCAACATCTTTTACGCCTGACTAACGGGGATGCATGCCAGTCCAATCACAAACACCGAGACAAAGCAAAGTGAGGGATGATACCTGGTCCTCTTTTTCTACAGTTTCTGAAAGTACAAGCATTAAATCGCCTCCTTGTAAAGGGGGGTATGCGGCTCATTCTGAACTCAGGCCACAATAAGAAGTTTTTAATACCTCTACACAGATCAAATTTAACATCAAGACTCTGTTTCAACAACGAGGCTGTTTGATTGAAGTCGTACGGTCAGCAGCAGGCGTTCAACTGACTGAGGTGTAATGGTCAGAGCTGCATCCATAAAATGACGATAGACCCAGTGGAAGCAGATGCATCCAACACAACCATGTCGGGATGAAGACGCACTCTGGCATTTTGCGGATTTTTGTGGAGATTATGAACTGATGAATCATGGCTGCTACCAATGTGCTGCTCAATGTTAAACCACAGAACGGCCTTTAGGTGACACGTCCCCGCTGCTCATGCTTCCACTAGCAGAAGTGCTCAAAACAAAGTACATCAGCTCCTCGATGCTCGGTTTTAAAAACCGGAGACGAACACATCTCAGGCGAACAGTAGCCTTTCTGCAGCCATGAGAGCGCAGGCAGAACCCAGAGGCTGGTGTGCAACACACTGTGCTGAGGAACATGCAGCTCAGACAGTGTCAGGACATGCTAACAGAGGGGAGGGGGGGGCGGGGGGTTGGTGAACCAAACAGCACAGGTGGGTCATGGAAAACAGCCCTGGATGTAGCATGCAAGCTGGTAGGCTGTCGCACTGTTATGGCAGTGACACAGGGCGGCGGTGACACCACTACCTGGAGTGTCTGCACCTGCTGGCCAGAGGCCGTGACCACGGGCGCTTCTGTTTGCAGCTGCACAGCCGTCACTGTGCCCTGTGCCTGCAGGCAAGGCAGGACGTTAGAGGCTCAAACAGGTACAGGTCCGGCCCAAATCCGCTCAAACCCATGCCAAGTTCTAACTCATGGGGATTTTTGTCAAACAAAAACAAAAAAAAAGCGGTTTGTTTTGGATGGAAATCAAAGACAGTGAGGCATAGTAACACTGATATATGGTCAGTGGAAGGAAATTGTGCCGTCATTTAATTGCACTAACAGCCGTTAGGTTAAAAGGCTTTTCATGTTTGAACTTAGGTCTTGCATCCCCTCCCCTTCTACGGAGATAAAAGTTTTTAAAATCATTAGAAACACTTTTTTAAAAGTAATTTTTATTTCCTTCCTAAATGTATTTAAGAGAACCAAGTCCTGACTCTGACTTTGTGCTCAGGCATTTCTGCGTGCTTTCTACTGTCTTTCTCCAGGATATGACCTTGTTATAGATGATCCCTAAAAAAATAATAATTCCTGAAAAACATATGTACATTAAAATTGATCAAACATATCTTTGAAAAAAGTCGTTTAAAACATACACACAAGTTATCCATATTCTAGCATGGTGTCTCACTGTCTTTTGTCAAAATCTTCATTTTGGCATGATCAAAAGTTGGCATGGGTAAGAATCATTTCAGGCTTGTGTGTGGAACCCCTTCAAGTCGTAAACTTGTGCACAAGTCTCTGAACATGTCACAGCACACCGGTTAATAGCAGAGTCCGAACCGAGGTGACGCACGGTCCAGCGGAGCCCACCTGCTGTTGGATCTGGCCGTTGGCGGTCTGCACTACTATCTGCTCCCCCGTCGTAGTGGTGGCAGTGGTGTACTGCTCCATGGCTCCTTTCTGTCACAGTCCTCTGGAGACAAAGACACAGTCCGTTTATAGCACACACTACTCAAAACGTCAGATTTTTCGTCTCACCACCAACCAGAAAAAACAAGGTTGTTGTTTGGTTTTTTGTATTTGCGTAACCGATCCAGATTTCTGTTAGCTTTGTTTTATTTAGACTGCACCCCCTGAATAGTACCCAGATTTATACTTGTATTGCTCCCTTGTGAACGAAAAAAAACAGATGTTTTGTTTCACATTTATTTGTAATATATAGACCCATGTGAGAGCCAGCAGATGAGTCACTCAGGAATATTTTAACAGGCTATTTTCTCACGACTGTTAGCAAGGCGGGCTAATATCGTCGGAGCTAGCTACAAAGCACGGCATATTTCAGAAAGCGCAAAATGGATGCACATTGTCTGGTTCTTGACAAAAGCTGGCCATATTCGTGTCATCTTTATTCCAGCTGTTGGCCATTTGCTGGGGGACCATTTACTGGTGTGTGGACGGTGTCATTATTAGCCGCCTCTTTGTTTGAGAGTGAATGTTATAGCATACAGGCTAACGTTAGCGCAGGCTCGTTGGTCTGTACAGATCATGTTTCCTCACGGTAGCCAACACCGAGAAGACGAAGCCATTTGCGGCCAAACTAGCCTGGAACCGAGCGGTCAAAATCAAACTGATATTTGATTTTTTTGCATTTAGCTGTGTTAGTAATTTGGTTGGTCCGTGACAAACCAATCCGTGCTGACAACTACCAATGCCTTCAATCGTGGCTCCCTTACCGTATCTTCGCTGTCCGGTTTCCCTCTGATTGGCTCTAGTACAGCTCGCTAAAGCCCAATCAACAAAGTGAGCGGACAAAATGGCGCAAATGAAACAACGGCGACTGGGAGGAGGTACGCAGCTGTGACACATGACTATAGGGGGGGAGAGGGCAAGGTGCAGCGCGTTGTGCTCCAGCAGATGGCGCAACTCCCCTCTGCTGTTCCCTTCTTCGGCTGTATTGTCATATCATTTATTGTTTTGTTTTTTAAATATTCTTTAGCGTTGGTACTAAATCGTGTGTTGGGAGAATAGACCGAACCCGTTTTAACTGTTGTGCATGTAAACAGTACGTGTGACCAGACACGTAGTTCCACCTCCAGCCCACCAGGTGGCAGCCCCGCGCTCGCCATCAACCGTCGCGCTGTTTGCGGAAGTTACATGGGGAGTTTGCAAGAATTTCGGCGTGTTGTATTAACTCGTATGTCACCTCTGCAGTGACAATAACGTAACTATCGTTCGCCTTAACTTAAGAGATTTGAATTAGCTTAATGCAGATTTTATAAGCGGACATGTTGGCTGAAAGGTTTGTGTCGTTTCCTCTTAGTGGCTAAACTCATTCGTTGTATTATTAGCATGGCCCGAGCTCTTCGGGTTTTCCCCCTCCTCTTTGGACTTCGTGCCATACCATTGATTCCTTCAGTGTATTGTAGTAGCTGCCGATTCGCAAGCAGAGGTGTAAATAAGTCATGGATGGGACAGAGTCATGTGCTCAGGGACAGAGGCCCAAACAGCCCCAGACACAGAGAGGAGGTGTCTGAAGAAGAGGTTGATCTGGATGATGTGGACGACAAGCTCCAGGCTTTGCTTGAGTAAGATTCAGCAGGGCTGAACCGACCAAATCTAAGACTTTAACTTAATCACTTAATTGGATTAAAATCATGTGTATGATGCCTTTTAAAATACATTTCCCATGTTGCAGTGAAGGAAGGAAAAGGCAAAAGACAGTGAAGTATCATATACTGAGGAGGCAAATGACCCCATCAGGACCAAGCCAGAGGAAGTTGACGTGGGATGCTATTAAACAAATCAGGTGAGGATGCTCATTGTAGTCAGTGCAGGCAGGAGTAATCCAGTGCTGGCATCCAATTATAGCTATTTTGACATTTTCAGGTATCTCAAAAATGAACAGCCAGAAGAATGGACAATAGAGCGGCTGGCAGAGGGTTTCTCTGTCACTCCCGATGTCATCCTGAGGGTGCTGAGGAGCAATTTCACCCCCTCTCCAGACAGGAGAGCCAAGCAGGACGCCACAGTGATGATTAAACTGGGTCAGCAGGCGCTGCCTTCAGGTACTGGGCTATTAAAGGACAAGCTGAAACTGCCTGGAAGTCACAATCCAACCACACTCCAAATTGGGAGATCAGAAGGTGCTTTGGTCCCCATTTCTGATCAGACTCAAATGATCCAAGTGTCAGAGACCCAAACAAAAAGTCCTGCGCGTGTCCTGCCCTCCCAGTTTACAGCTGGTGTTACTGAAGATGTCCAGGAAAAGAGATCAGCAGTAGAGGCTGGGGGTGAGGACGACAACGAGGGCTGGGATGGACAGGTTTTGACAGAAGAAGAACTTGAGGAGTATCTCGACATGGAAAAACCCTCTCCTGTAACGCAAGTTGGAAATGATGTCTTTGATGCAGAGGGGAACTTCCTGTATAGAATTTGAGGACATCCTTTGTTTAAAATGTTGAGAATGTGCTGTTAAGGGGGCATTGCTGTTACTAAATAGTTATCAGCTCTGTCCTCTCCAGATACATTATTGCTGCTGTGAATTGTGAATTTATAAAATAAAAATCACTTTAAAGTACTTTTTATTCACTGTATTTTTACATGTTTTTAGGAGCTCAAAAATATTTTTTATTGTGAAAGCGTCACCATGGACAGCCATTCAAAACTTTCAGGAGTAACTTAACCATCTTTTTTAGTTAACCATCCTTTATAAACATTCAAATAAGATGAAAGGAACAAATTAATTTATTGTCAAACCCAAATTAAACAGCCTCAAATATACAGAAGAGAAACATTGTAGTTATAAATATAACCTTGTATATTTACAGATCCATCGTGCCTTTTTTTAATTTATACAAGCTTTAATGAAAAATGTGGAACCTTCACAAAGTCTAATAACTTCATAAAATAACAGACAAGACCATTTTTTCAGTGTGAAACAGCTACATAGAGACCTGGTTTCCACTTATTTTTCTAAACCTTTCTAACCAGATTATTGCAACCAATCCTTCATGAAATTCTGCTCTATTAAAAATATTGAGATTTAACATGCAGTTTAATGGAATTTATATAAAACAAAACATTTACTGCTCTAGAAGTTATTTTAGGCAACAAGTGCAACTTGAGGGGTGTCACTGAAACTGGATTAAACAGGTTAAATGTATCTTACATAAATAACAGAACCTCACACCAGGCACTTGTGTTACCACATCCAATCTATTTCACTCTGAGCGAACTTGTCATGAATAAGTTAAATTTGTATTAAAGAAAAGTATCTAACACAAGACATAACTGTGCAACATAAGTTGAAAAAGAGAGAAACAATCTAAGACGTCACATGATTAGACAGAATTTAAAATACAGCAGTTCATAGTAAAATTACACCATAAAAAACCTTCAACAACCCTGTGATTTCACATCGTCTTGCTTCGCTTCAACTGCAGGTACATTTAAAAAAAAAAAAAGTCATTTTGGTGCAGCTTATCCAGAAGTGTTTGTTAATTCTTCAAACAGGCTACCTGCAGTCATTGAGCTATACAAGATTTCATTTACAGAAGTGGATAGATGAGCTTTTTTCTGCATTGCTTTCGTTCACTTTAATCCACTGATGCATTTGGTTATCAAAGTATGTTGCACGAAAGAGGAATAAAAAGCAAATGTCGCTATTCACAATCAAACTATTACTTCTGACACCTCTGAACAACAGTGTGTCAGATGTTCCATGATTTGGAAGAGCTGGTTAGTACAAAAAACTGCTCAGATTATTCCAAACACAGCTTACTTATGATTACAGTGATATCCTAACAACAGGTCACACTTAAGAAAAAAATGCTCTACTACAAACTCATTGCTTCCGAAAGGAACTTGTGCTTTCAGCAGTTAGAATTGCAGTTGAGGTCTTAAATTCATTCTGTCTTTAAAACAGACACACTTCACCATCCTGGATGTTGACACTTTGTGATTTGCTTATGACATTTTCACTATAGATATTCTCAGGACTGTTTAACATGCATGGTCAATGTACCAAATGCAGAAAAATGTCCTCATTATTGCCAACAAATTTCATAGAAATTTCTGTTCGTGCCTTATTACTCCAACTACGATAAAACCCCAGGTCAGCGGGAAAGTTTTCCAAATGCAGACCAAAATAGAAATTAAATCTGTAAAGGCTAAGAACGTGAAATTTAAAGTCTTGGTAGTCTGGGGTACATTTTGACAATGCTTCAATAAAATTAAGGACTGAGATTCAAGTGTTATGGGGGAATTATCCACCAAAAATCGACTGCAACCTTTTGAACACCCACTAAACCAATAATGGACTAAAAATGCAAAGAAAATAGGTTTATATACAAGTCAATAAGCGGGAAAAAAAACAGATAAATCTTCAGTAGAAATGAGTAGCGCTTTCAGGAGCGCACCGGAGTTACTGCATTACTTCTTCATTCAACAAAATAAATATCTCTGAGATTCAAACTCATGGAAACCAAAAAGTGAGAGTGCAACAGCATGTGACTTCCTTCATCCTCCTCACCTCTGGCATTGGTTTCAGGAGTCTCCGTACATTCATTAAACTTCACCGATGACAGCAGAGCGACACAGACTCCTCGTCTGTTGCCAAAGCTTATACTAAAGGGCAAGAGGAAGAAGTAACCGGAGACAAAAGTGACACGAACAGCGGCCAGCCATGGAGTGGACAGGAGACCTCTAGCTCAGTTGCATAACAGGTAGGGGTTTGTTATTCAAGCAGATCCTGTAAAAAAAAAAAAGAAAAGCATCATACTGAAGCAAGAAACAACAGGTGAGCAGATAGACAGCTGCGTATGTTTACACTGGCACACCTAACTCTTACTCAGTGAGATCTACTTCGACGTTAAGTTTACTCTATAAACACCTTTTTCAAGAGAGAACTCCTTGAGTCATCCTATGTGAGCTCCTCCCGGCTGCGTTTGTGAGCTTCTTGTTAGATTATAATCAAAACAGCATGACTGACTACAGGCGGTGCATTCCTTCATAATTTAACCCAGGTTTAACCCTATTTCTGACCTAACCAGTCAAAATAATTACAACATCACAGATGTGAGGTTGAAATAAATATGGTGATGCAGAATTAGTGACCCATAATTCAGTGAAGACTGCTCAGTGTTCATGGGTTGGAACATTCTCAAACTGACACGTGGCTTTTGTCACCACTTCTGAAGAGGTCTCCACTTTACTACACAGTTACGGTTTGAGACTTTACAGAAAAAAAAAAAACACATACATATGTGTGTGTATAAGCTCATGATAACTAACTATGGGAAGCAAAACTTTCTTTCCACTCAGTTTACAAAAACAATACTCAGTTTCAAGCGGTGTTATGTGGACTGGAAAACATCACCGGTACCTCATCGGAGTCATGGTGGAACTCTATTTTGCCGTTTGGAGTGTGGTTGGACTCCAGCGGGTCGTCCATCCCATCGGTGGCGTTGTCCTCAACGTGCTGCTGCAGCACTGAGTACCTGTGAACCAAAAACCTACGGGGCACACAGAAAACACTATCAGCTCATCCAAACCGCTGTTGAAAGGATATCGTGTCCCACAGAAATAAACATTCCAACTGGAAGGCTCAGTTTGGGAGGAAACAGAGACACACTTACCTGCCACCACAGACATATTTCTTGACAAAAACCACTCCAGCTGCAATGCTCAGCAGCATCACCACAATCACTGTAATCACGATGGGCACAGATTTGGAGGCCTGGTTGTCTGTCTGTACAAAGAAGAACAGGTAGAGAAAAGTTTAAAAGAAAAAAAGCACAAACTGTGCCACAGGAACGACTCAGGCTTCATAAAAATGTCTTTGACGTACCAGTGGTTCTGGACCCACCAGGTCACTGACACACCTCTTGCTGAGGTCGATCTCTTTTCGCTCTGGCATCTTTCCTCCCTCACATTTGTCTCCAGGGATTTTTCTATACCTGTGAGCCAAGAACCCATAGGAGATTTGAGTGTTTGATAAATGGCTTGAGGGGTGCACACAGATTGCACCGATAACAACATCAATCATCCATTTTGAGTTGGTGTGAATGAAAAGGATATATTTCTTTCAAGATTTTTAATCTGACGTGCTGACTGAAAAGCCAGATGAGTCTTTTGGGCCACATTTACTCTTACACTCGCACACACCCTCGTCTACTTCTTGTGACTGCTCCCTTATAGAGCTGCACTTCCTCATTCTCCACACTGTTTCCACTCTGTGACTCACCATCATTGCTTCAAAACTATCACTTGTACAGTCAGTTTGCAGACAATACTTTTACATTACATGAAGACAATTTTAAAGCAGACTGCACGTCAGACTGCATGGCAGCGGTGACCAAAAAGAGGGAAAGCACATCCACTGCAGTGGAGGAAATGTTGACACACAGATGCCAAAAACATAGAATAAAATACTTCTTGTAATCAAATATAGGACAGGACCTTACCCACTGGTCTGCAGTTGTTCCTCTTTGCCATGTAGACAGAACTCCAAAACCTTGCCTTTCAGGTCCGGCTGCTCCACACACTCTGAGCTATTCTCTTTACGATAGTACCCAAAGTCACTGCAAATAGCCACATGATGCATGGACAGTAAGTATGGGTAGAAGACATAAGCGTGTGCATGGTGCGCGAGGGTTAAAAAGCATCCAGAGACGTTGGATCAACAGTCCATCTTACCATAAGAAGTCATCCAGGGTGCACGGGCACGGGGTCGGCTGTGTGTTGATGGTGTAATCACGCCCGTTCCAGCAAACGGAGTCCTTTCTGAGCCGCAGGAACTTCTCTTTGTATCCCAGCATACAACCATCGTTGGGGTCGCTGATGTCATCAGAGTGGGCCAACCACTGCACATAGTCTTTATCTACACCTAAGAACAGCAATGTCAAAGAATCCAAATGTGAAGAAAAAGATGCCTAAAGTCACTTTAGGTTTTTATCATTCTTGTTATATTTACAGTCTCTGGTGAGAAGTTCCCTGAAGTCGATGGTGACAGAGATCCAGTACTGGCTAAAGAGGGAGTCCCTGTAGCCCCAGATGCTGACATTCATGGAGCGAGCTCCTGGCTCCGATGCCAGCCCAGTGAAGTATATTGGCTCCTCTGTGAATTTGTACACACCCCAGCACTGTCCTTCATCAGTGGAAAATCTGTCACAACACCAAAGAATGTATAAACACAAACATAATTCCAATAAACTAAAGGCATTGAGCTGAGGTTGAATATATTAAAGGGCAGATATTCCATTAGTCATGATCATATCATAAGAATCTCCCTGTTTGACACATCTGCACAGCACCTCCCCCGTTCCCACTAAGTGAGTAACTCACTTAATCTCGTCGATTGCTTGAGTATTGCTGTGCTCCACGGCTACCAGCAGCCCTCCCGAGTCCAGAATAGCATAGTGGTGAGGCCCATCGAGCGCCTTCATCCAGGTGTAGCCCCCGTCATCGGACACATACACATCGGGTTGCATCACTGAGATCGCATCCCCAACACTACCTGATGAAACATTGAGAGATGATGTGAGCACAAAGAGAAACGACCATCTAAAAACACCTTTGTGCAGTAATATTGGCATGGAAGATCTGCTTCGAGGTTTACCGTGAGCCAAGATGAGACCCAAAGCATTTGGTTCGCTCAGAGGCAGCATGGGGACGTTCACTTTCATGGCAGTGCTGTAAGCAGCGTGGATGTGGAGACTGCACTGTGAGGGAGAAGACAAGCAGGACTTTGGTCTTCAGTAACAATGCCACCTTTATCGGATGTGGAGACTCAGACCGACAATGTAACATGCAAATCTGATTTAAATCAGTTTATCCCCGGTCGGTTTTTACCTTGTCTGGGTCTCTGGCTGTAGCATCACACTTGGTGTTGGCAGGTTTCCGCAGGGGGACCCACTCCCCTCCCTGGTCGAAGGACACCACAGACTGCACAGAGGTGTCTGCAAGCGCAAGAGTGTTTTAAGGGCTTGATTTGGATCCTTACAACCCAGCAAGAGTAAGAAACGCAATGGGACACATAAATACTGGACAGAGGCAATGACGAGAGCCATTCCTGCCTCAGTAATCTGCTTCAAACAGACAACACGTCTAACACTGGACAACTAATTAAATATTTAACTCACACCCTTCTACTGGTATGTAATGGAGAAGCGCTGTGTGGGCGTGTTGCTGGCGAGCATCTGAGTGCAGGTATGTGGTGTTATTGCCTTATCTAAGCACAGAACATGGAGACGTACCTTCAGCCAGGACACTGGTAATGAAAACTCCTCGTAAGGAGGTGACATTCGTGAAGTCTGTGTCGCCTCCAGTGGTGGTGTAAAGGTGGCGCTCCAGTGACTTTGAGTACACAGTGCCCCGGTCATCTGATACATAAATTGTACCAAATCCTGTATCTGAGGAGGGGGAGGGAAACGGGAGGGTTTCAGGTGTGTGAGATAAAGGAATAATGAAGCACAGTTATGTCTGGTCAAGGTTTAATGGTCTAACACTGGAGACGTGCAAGAATTCCATTCTCATATGCCAAAGAACATGAATGAAGTAGAACAAAGAGGCAGTTTGTGAACATAATTATATTGCAGATTAAATCTGGTGGTTTGGAAGTACCAAACGACTTTCTTTGGTCTTCTCCCACACTTACACGTGTTTAACAAAATGGCATTTTAAAAATATTGAAAAAAAATTATTAGAACATGGGAAATTATATTCTGCAGTATGTTACAGATGACATGATCCATAATTTAGAAGACTGACTGTTTTGGCCATACTCAACCAGAAAGTCAGGTGACAATGAGGAATTTCCTTTCCTCATTCATGTTTGAGAACACGGAATGCTTTGAATTGCACTCTGTGCTTGGGTAAACAAACTGGAGAGGGCTCCCAAACCAGTCAGTTTCTGACTAACAATGGGAAAGACTTTTTTGGGAAAAATTCATTCTGGAATTTCATTTGATTTGTTGGGTTCAGAAAAAGCTTAGCCCATCAACACTACATACTACTGCGGTACACCTGCTCCAAAAACTGCTTGCTACTGGCAAGTGTTGATATTCAATTTGATGTGTAAAAATGTTGCGACAAAGACTGACCTCCGGGCTCGTCGACGTGCATGAAAACCATGTCATCATTGGCTGCCAGGATGGAGTAGAACTGCTCGTGACCAACAGGCGGCAGCTGGGCCATGTTCCAAGTCTCACCATCATCCACCGACACGTGGATCATTCTAAGTGTCCCCTGCAAGAGGCAGAGTTCGGAAAAGAAGAAAGGGAAATAAAGGTCAAATATAGAAAGAATGAGAATGTAAAAAATCTGTGGCTGTGCAACCACACCAGAAGAAACTATCCCAAAAAAATGATTACATCACGTGGTGGTGATGACATTTAATTAAACCAGAGGGCTAAAATCTGTGAAGTCCTTCATAAACATGGATCAGTGATAAAGAGGAAACATAAACATGCATGTCATCATGCGGTTTCCTGACCATTTCTCCATTAGTTGTGGTTGAGTAGTACAGTACTTCCTCATATTCAACTAAGGCCAGCAACCCACAGTGTTCTCCTTTTCTTCAGTGTCAAAAATACCGATACAGCAACGCTGTAGTTTGTTCTATGCGCGTAAAAAAAAAAAAAAACATTCCACCTGTTCTTATATTGTCCTGAGTAAACTCCTTTGTGTACTGACCTTGCCCGTCATGACAGAGGCAAAAAGGAAGCGTCCGCCCAGGCCATATGAGTAGATCTTACTGGCAACAGTCTTGATGGTTTTCCCATAGTCTGTAGTTCTCCTCAGTTCTAACATCCCTCGATCACCTGAAACACACAAGATGGTTTTGAACAAGAAGTGAAGTAAGCACTTTTGTAAATATTTATTTACATGTGTATCCATTAGTTGTATAGCTAAATCATATAACAAATATAATACATATATATATATATATATAAACATATTAAATAGATATGATTTGATGTTGCACATTTTTCTTTTGAAAAAAATACTTACTGCAGGATCCATTAAGGCTGGTTGTAAAGAAAATTGTATTTTTTCTTCCCCTGAAAGCAAATTGGGAACGTTGAAAAATGTATTACAGATATGAGAGCACAATAAACAGAAGCTGCTTTGTTGATAAGGATACAAAAGTGTCTTAGTGAACGAGGAGGCATATCAAGGAAGAGAGATATCCCACAGGAATGACTTAGCATTATCAATCTATTCCCGTTCTGTAGTAGGTTTTGCTTCATCGTCACGTGACACGGCTTATCAATTGCAACAATCCCTTCTTAAATAAACTGCGTCTGGCGTCAAAAGAATTGTGCCCCAGTTCAAACTGACCCATTTTCCGTTCAGATAAAGGGTTCTGTGACGGCACTTCTCCCTGTCACTTTAGACTAACAGCCTTAAAAATTTAACTAAAACAAACGTAGCTCTATCTGGGTTAATAAGTGATACAAAGGAAGTGTCTCTGTGCCACAGTTTGTGAAACAGTCATCGAGTGCAACGCAGTTTTACTGCCGCATTTGCAAAGCAGCAGAGACGACTTCATTTTCTGCGGAAAACCGTGAGGCTGATTCTGCTGCCATGCTACTTTTGTTCAAGTGTTAAAATGACCTCAGCACGTGGTGGTTTCAACATATTATGGTGTAAACAGCAGCAAAGCAAAAACGAGGCTGGACGGGAAACTAAAACCAAAGAAAAGGACTGCTGCAAAACACCCCAGCTCTTCAAAGCGGCCCGTACATGTCAGAGCAGTGGGAATGTTTTTGTCCACACTTCTCCCTCGTCTCACTTGGGAATATTGAATGAGATCATTGTTTGTTCGCCGGGTGCCTGATAAAGGCGTGCATCTTTTTGACTCATCCCTTACCATTTCACCAGACACACCATGTCGTGGATCTTTTTCCAGTCACTGCCAAAATCCTCAGAAAGCCACAGTTCATTCTGTAGATGTTGAAAAAAAAAGCATTTACCGTGCGTTTGTCTAAAGCAGAACCAGAGTTTACAAGGTTCACACTTATCGTGACACACCTATCAAGCGACACCAGTGGTGTTAATAAATGCACACTGTGTAAACATACTCAGAAAATGCCCTCTGAAGTTTAGAAGACTTGTCAAGTCAAGTCACTGATAGTGAAATTCACAAATTTGCTTTACCAGAGGCCTGTGCAAAAAGTCAACAACAAACTGAAAATTATCCAAAAGGCACGCATATCTGAGAATTGTCTTTTATGTATTTATGCCTTGAAAGTAGAAATAAAATTACATGTTTTTACCAATGTTTAGCTGGAATGCTCTGGATGCCCCTATCGCATAATTTAATAATGTTTTCGGAGAAATGCACGAGCACAACTTGGGTTTTTGAGCTAATACAAAATGACTTCTTTCCACATAAAATATGGAGCTTCTTAACGATTCACTACTTACATTGTTGCTAAGGACAACCAGCACATTTGACTTCTCGGGATTGTACGTGATCTGCCTCAAGGGGTTGAAAGGCAAGTCCCGATGGGAAAAGCTCTTTCCAAAGTCGTCGGAGACAAAAATCCGAGATTCCTGAGCTCCAGATATTTCACCTGTCAGGATCACCTAAAAGCCAGAATCCAAAAGTGTCTTTACGGCCGACATTTCAGTGCTTCCAGGTTTGCACAACCACAAGAATAACAAGCACACGCGGTGAGGAACAGGACTTACCTTCCCTGAGTTCTCGGGGTCGATTGCGATGCCAAACTCTGATCCGATGAAAGTGTTGTTGATCAAGCTGGTCACATCCTGAAAAGTCTTCCCGTAATCCTCACTGTCAGACAAACATTTGCAGCAAAATGTGAGGCCATTCGTGATCAATCTATGCTGCTTTCCAAACAGCTGCGCACAAAAAAAAACTTACCTGCGATAAAGTTTGGACTGCCCAAGTCTTACCATGATGAAGGGCACCTGGAAAGTGGTCAAAGCCAGAATGACCTGCGAAGAACAAAAGATTCAGCTTAGGGAGAATCTGTGTCCTTACGAGAGTCCGTGAGACACTGATGTCAGGGAGCTCATTATGTAACCATTGCATGCAGACTGCCCACAGCAAAATAAACCAGCTCATGTCGGATTGGGTGCAACACTCACCCCCGTGCCATCTCCAACCCAGGCCAGAGACACTGAGCCACTCAGGTCATTGAAGGTGTACTGAGGAATAGAGGATCACACATGTTACAGTTAAATCATCAAAACATCCAAACACCCGGACAAGTACCGACTCCTGCTAACAGCAGACTTCCAAACACCAGCGGATCGAAGATTTTCCTTTTCATCCAACAATTATTTTGCAGAATGGAGCAAATATGCCTGGAAGCCTCGGACCGAAACATGCTGCCGCCCAGTAGTCCTCCACACTCTTCAAAGCGGCTCAACCTGTAAGCAGCTCTAGGGACCAGCAGTGGTAGCCTCAGGGGAAAGTGAGGGTTCTGCCTGTAGGAATTCCCTGAACCTCAGATTACTGGGGCCAAGAGTACAAAGACTGCAATGCAAAGCTGAGCCCAGGGCAGTGAGGCGATAGGCAAATAAGCAGCACAGTATTCCGGTGAAGGCAGTCACCTGTTTATTTTGTGGAGGGTAATGTTATTTTCCTAGCTTGGTAAATTAGACGGCTTTCTCTTCCTGGTTAGGTCCTTCAACAGCGATTTGTAGCTTGTTCACTGCGTTCACGACCACACAAGCAGAGCTTTTAATTACAAAATAAGAACCACACAGCCAGTCACATGATTTCCTCGGGGCCAATTTTCATGTCGACATTTGGGCAGATTTTGCTCTCAGTGAAGCAGAGAAAAGTGGGATGGTTAAATACAGAATACATCTTCATGCTTGAGAAGACAAAGATATGGGTCATAACCATTCAGGGGACACTTTATGGAGGAAAAAACTGCTCTGGCTGTCATTCAGCTGAACCCACTATGGACCAAAGGTTCACTAAACTCTACTTTACTGCCCCAAATCTCACAAGAAAGGAATCATAACAGCACAGGGAGGAAAAAAAATCAATAAATGAAACGGCTAAACCTGAGGAAAGGTGTGGTTTTAAAAAGCTGCGCGCGTTTCTTGGTGCGGCTGATGTATTTCGGGCTGCAGTTAACCCTGGCTCGGAAGGCTTACAGGTGAGTGGAAAACAGCCCATTAGGAGCTGCGTCTCCAACCACACCGAGCTGCTGATCGGGCCTGTGCGCGCACCTGGTTAGCACCTGCGCATCTTCCCCTGCGAGCTCACACACACACACACACACACACGCTTCACGAAACAGGAGCTCGGCCGGTAACTTACGAGGTGGGTGTTGTCTTTCAACTTGGGCTCGTATCCCCGGAGCGCCCCGCACGAGTCGCCCGGCTCGGCGCTCCTCCGCCGGATCCTGTGATCCGGCGATGCGGCCAGCCACGCAGGCAGAGATCGCCTCACGATCTTTGCGGCTCTCTCTCTAACGCTCGAGCGCCTCTCAAACGCCGAATGTCCGAGAGGTCCCGGTCTCTGCTGGAAATCTGACCCTGCAGTGAGAGCGCAGGCGGAGAGCAGCAGGAGCCCCGGCAGCCACAGTCCCATCGTCAATGCTGCTGCTGGAAGCAACAAAGGAGACAGAAGAGACGAGACCGAAACGAGGCTTTCTTTATCCCAGACTCGCACGGCAACGGACGGTCGCTACAGCTTTGCCGCGGATGACATCAACAAAACAGTTGTCGTCCAGTGACAGCGACTATTTCGGGCTTTGAAAAAAAAAAAAACGAAGCGTCCTCAAAGCCTCGGCCGTTTCACTTGCCCAGCCGATAAATATACAAACCGGGAAATATCCCAAAGTAACGTAAATCAATCTGGGTGTTTAACACTAATTGCTCGAGCGGTTACTCCATCTCAGACAGAACACACTGTAACGATCATAGAAATTGTGCCTGCAGGTCGTAATGCTCTATTAAGAGAGTGCGCTGCGATTGGCTGGTCATCCGTTCAGAGCCGCCTTCCCTTTTTTCCTATTGGTTGAGACATAAAGGGGTGGTGCCACCAATGACCCCGCATAATTAGCTGTCAAAAGGAACATCATGATAGGTTGAACGATACTAACACACAGCAATGTCCAGTAAGAAGTTATTTGAATACAGAACAATATATTTGTCATTCACTGTTAAATACATAGACACATTTATGTATTTTTAATTTGCGTAGCATCATATAAATGGAAACATAACAGGTTAGATGGTGCTTTTAATTAGTTCTGCTATCTCTAAGATCATACAGATTGTTATCTAATATAAATATGAAGATATTCAGGCAAGTTTGCGTGTCAGGGAGGGAGAGAGACGTCAGAAGTTTCCTGTTAATTTCTCCTGAAGTTTATAAGAAAATAAAATTAGTCTTTATGTAAAACAAAAATTGCATGGACCATGTGTTGCGTTAAATAAACATTTTTTTAATGCAGGCATTTCAAAGGTTAAAAATCTGGAACAGTGGTGATGTGGGAAAGCTCATACAAGCCATTGCAACAGGGAGAAATGGAGTAATCTCTCCACCAATGGAGCATCAAAGTCCTGTGTAAACAAAATAATTGAAACATATTTGGAGCGTGAGACCATTTTCAATGAAATAAAACTTTTAAAAACACATTCATAAACATGGAAAATAATCAATATTACAATATCATGAATATATATATATGTATATATCAGTTTCAGTAGCAAGATTAAGTTCTGATTTGCTTTTTTAAAATTCAGTTTCCCTACCATGTTGTCAAAACATGTTTATTTCATTTTGATAATTGCTCTGTGGCATATTGCATTGATTCACTTTGGACAAGAGATGCTATAGTGAGCCACACCAAACCCGTGATTAGTGGTCATGTGTAGCAGGAGAAAAAAAACCTGATCACCCTTCGTTGCCATGGCTGGATATATTCAAACTATAGAAACCGCAGACACTGGGAGTCTTTTATACCAATGTGAGGTTTAGGCTGTCCTTCCATCTGCAAATTGTCTGCTGCATAACAAGAACATTTCTTCCTTGTCTTAGAAACTAAAACTGCAGACGAAAAGTGGGAGGACTGGATCAGTGAGTTATTTCCCCATGCAAAGGTCCTGGTGTGGTGTAACCAGTCAATCAGGTCTGTGAACCTGGAACAAAATAAAACAAAAACATATCATGTTTTGAGTTTTCAATGAAAGCAATCATACAGGTTTTAATGATTTTTCACCCCACCCCGCGACGCAAATCTTCAAATACATTCAAATATGCCTCACTGGACAAGTGGATGTATTCCATGCAAGTCTTGCTTTTGCATGAGTTTTTTTTACTGATTTAAGCTAAAAATCAAACAATCTGTAGCGCTGCATTCCTCAACAAAAGGAGTGTCTGTGTAAGCCTCGGCCCCTCCCCCAGGCAGCCTAAAAGGTGGAGAACAAAGCTACTTTTATTCCTTTAAGATGTGCTGTAAGATTGAGAACTCTGATCAACCACCATCTGATATTTGCCCTCTTGCTGAGGTCAGGATGAGGGTTTTGTACAGACCCAAGCTGAGGGATTTCTAAATAAAGAAACTGCATGCGAATGAGTCCACGCTGATGGGAATAATGAGTGGCACATGACACACTTACAGTTAAAACTCTGCTTAACAGATATCAGCTACTCTGGAGCTGGTGAAACTTATCTCTTCTGTAACTGCATATTTGTTGCATGATACTGGAGCAATGCTGAACTTAGACAACACGAAGATTTCATTTGAAGATATGCTTGCGTTTCGTGAGAATTTGTCACTAAGTCATCTATCACATACATAAAAAGTTAACCATTTTGGTTTTTAAGACATGCATATTCAAAAACCTGAAAAAAAAGTAAAGTTGCATCATGAAATAGGTGTCATTATTTTTTGGTAGAAGTATGAAAGTACTGAAACCAATTTAACCTGTTTAGCTGTCTCATAGGTTTAAAGGAAAAGGTGTGACCCAAGGAACCACTCTGTGAAAGATTAGATACTGGGAAATGTTTTCACTGATGATTCTTCCTTGTTTCTGTATCTGTCTTCACCTCTGTCTAACACACTCCAAACTGCAATCACAAACAAGCATTTCACAAAGCACAGAATATTCCAGAAGGTCAAAGGAGTTTGGCTCTCATAGTCTGTGAGCCATTTTTTTGGGTTGGTCTTTTTTTGGTGCCTGTCTTTGAAAAAGACCAAGTGTTGTGTGTGCTGGACAGATACTTGGCCTTCTTTCTCCACAAACGGTCATCATCTCACCAATGTGAAATGGTTTGTTGGTTATCTTTCTTCTCAGGGCCTGTGAGCGGGACTGGATCTGTTTGTGACATATTTCACTGTGAAACTATCAAGGCTGCTCTGCTCTCTGGCACTTTAAATCCTGAAGGAATATTATAAAGATTCTTGGTGCAATGATTACATTTGTGACTCCATTTGATGTTTTCTCTTTGGATATATCTATCTATCTATCTATCTATCTATCTATCTATCTATCTATCTATCTATCTATCTATCTATCTATCTATCTATCTATCTATACATCTATCGTAAACTATAACTATTTAATCATGCTGTGAATTGCACGAAAGGTTTCACAACTGTTAATAAACACAACAAAACATCATCTTATCAACCTATTTGGACACCAGAATAACGTGTGAAATGCAACATTAGCCCTGATGAGCACTGACATGACCTGAACACGGTGAGGAGCTGAATATACAGAGAACAATGTGGACAATACCGAGCCTCAGACCTAGAACTTTTTACTTAAGGAGGAAAAATGGGTCCTTTTCGTTCTGGTTGATAGTATTATTATCAAAGGGAGGGGCCTTGTAATGTTTGAGACGCTACTTCCAGCCCTGTCAAACGCAAGCTCATACCGTTACACATGAGCTAAAAAATCGTTCGGCGGATGCTAAACAATATGCTGGTGTCTGTTCTTCGTGTCACGCGGGTTGGATCAGTCCGCATTTGTAAACGGTTTGAAATTAGCCATGTGCAGTGACATCCTCTTTTAAATATCTGCGCTATGTGGATCAGCAGTTCAGAGACCGGGGCCGGGCACTCCGCTTAGCAGCCGCCAGCCTTTGAGGTTGACATCCTGTACAGCGAACGACATCCTGAGCCCCGTACGGCAGCGCCCCCCTCCGAGTCCCGGCGGCCGTGGTCACGTGTCACCAGCTGCGATTCGCTGAAGTTGTAGAAAAGTTTGACAAGACAGAGGAGCATCGAAAGACAGACCCCCAAAAAAGCTAAATAACCGGGTTTTTTTCGTGGGGGGGTTTGTATCGTGTCTACCGTGGAGCAGCTATGGAATCCGTCGCCCAGGTAACAGCGCTGGCTAGGAGAGAGTGAACGGTTAATGGCGTATTTGAATGGAGACTTCTGGGGAAACACAACTATCACTGTCCCACCTTCTCAACCGTTCAACGGCTTTCTCCTCATTTTTATTCTTTTTTTCTCCAGAAAGTCCTGGCCTCAGGATTCAGTCTTGACTTTGGACCCTTGAAAGAGCCTTTGGCGTTTATCCGTCTGTTGGAATGGGTGAGTTTTACAGGATTTGTGTAGTTTTTTTTTCATACCATATGGCCTTTACCGAGGTATTAGTATGTGATTCATACAGGTTGTCAATGCCAAGCAAGAGAAATATATCTTGAAGTGGCAACTTTTTTTGTCTTGTGACCCGTTTCACGCCCAAAGAAGCGAAGAATTTCGTCTTTTTTTCGCCGCTCAACCGTCACATATGTGGAATGCAGCTGAAGAAAGGCTCGGTTCTTCTTATCGGGGTAAATAACACGCAAATTAGGGCTGAGCTGGAGGTTAATGTTTAAGCACGCCATGCCCCGCGCGACTCTGCGTTAAAGTTTGCACTCCTCAAAAACCAACTGACGTTAGCCCTTTTTTTCAAACCTCCAGCCCCTCAGCAGCATGTCAGAGACGCTGACATGTTTAAACCCGACGGTCCTCCCCGCAGAACGCGTGTCACAGTCTGCTCCTTCCACACAGAACCCCCATTATAAGTCCCTTAAAAACGGGTACAGTTCAATCAAACGAGCACCGTCATCCCATCGGTGCAACACTGTCTGCCTAAATGAGCAGTTTTATTAGATAACACCATGTGTTTTTGTGCCATTGTTCCTCATTTGACCTTTTTCCTGAATGACTGAACCAGAGAGATAAAAAGGTCCAGAGGTGACTGAGATATGTCTTTTAAAAATAAATAAATATTTGGAGCAGTTTAGCTCACTGGGCCGAAGACTTCTGTCCAAAGTGTGTTGTGTAAATGTTTCAAATGAAGTGTGTGCATGTGTTTAATGCTGTCTGTGTTTTCAGCTCTTCGCCATATTTGCCTTTGCTACGACCGGCGGCTACAGTGGCTTCACCAGCGTTAACATCCAGTGCCCTGCGAGCGCTAGTCAAGAAATACAAGCCGACTTCAACTATCCTTTCAGGTGTGTGGAGGCAGGCGTGCAGCGTCTCTCACTTCAAACACAGGTAGCAGCCGGATGTTCACAGGGTGTCCTCTGTGTTTTTCTCTCAGACTGCAGCAGCATCCCTATCACGTCCCAGACTGTGTAGTCAACAACACCAAGCCCTCTACAGTCTACCTGACTGGAGATCATTCATCTTCTGCAGAGTTTTACGTGTGCATTGGAGTCTTGGCTTTCCTCTACTGCACTGCCACACTCGTCCTCTATTTGGGATACCAGCACCTGTACAAAGAGCAGAGCCGTGCCCCAATTGTGGTATGTTTTTTCAAGTACTTGCGGTTTTTGTTTTGAGTGACAGGATGTGATGGTTTCTGCTCTAGGACGTACGCAGTTGTTACATTTTTTTATGTGTGTAGAATCTCCTATTTTGAGTCGGCAACTGACTCTCTTGAAGTTCCTTGACTTGAGGTTAGATTCCAATAGAATAAGCATGTAACGGAGCCATGTGAGTGAAAGGGTGGGGTTTGCAAGCAGCCTGGCGAGATATTGCTTCAAGGAGTCTCTGATTATTGAAAGTGCTGCGTAGTTTCAGCTTTGTTGTTCAGTAGCTACATCATACTTATGGGTCCAGTGAAGTGTTTTTAGTTTTTTTTTTTCTTATGATAGGATGTGTCGCTACGTCTTTACAGTTGAACAATGGTATGTTTTGCCCAAAAGGCCAGAGATTTTGTACACTGGTTGAAGCAATAAAACACACAAACACATGCACCTCGGAAAAAAAAAAGATGTATATATTTACTATTATTATTTTTTATATATAGGGTGTACCAGGTAGACAGCCTATCCAGTTTTCTAATTGAATTTAATCTTGTGAGCCAAAATCACATTGTGATCAAGTTGGTCTCATGCTTCTTTTTTTAATAAATTCAATGATCTTATGGTTTTTTACAGTTTTTTTGCTATTGCCGTATTTTGTATGACACAGATCATGTATCTTTCTGCCCTGTAAGGACCTGCTGGTGACCGCAGCCTTTGCCTTTCTGTGGTTAACATCTTCCTCAGCGTGGGCCAAAGGCTTGACTGATGTGAAATGGGCCACCAGTCCTTCAACAATTGTTACCTTGCTTGACGTTTGCAAGGACGGCAAAACCAAGTGCACAGCAGGAGCTACGCCGCACATGGGCCGATTAAATGCCTCCGTGGTGAGTTTCATGCAAAGGAGTCCTGCCTACGAGCACTGCGCTAGATATTTGACTCGCTGACTAATTTTAACTTAAAAACCTTTTTATTTCAGATATTTGGTTTTCTTAATCTCATCCTGTGGGGAGGCAACTGCTGGTTTATTTACAAGGAAACGCCTTTCCACAAATCAACCAGCCAGCCTGAAAATGTGGAGGGGGGAGTTCCGCCATCATAACTTTCCAGCTTCCTCATCACAGAAATGTTTAACGTGTTGTGTTATTGGTTTAGCATTTCCAGTAATAGGGTATACATTTCTAAATTAGACTAAATTAAGTTCAAGACTGATTTTTATTTTTTATTTCTTTTTATCTGCAATGTGTCATATCCAGCTCATTTCAAAAGCTACTAAATTTAGTTGTTCAGATACAAACTAACTGAGGAAATAAATTCTCTCATCTGTACTTGATTTATTAAGGACAGACCATGAGAGGTCGGTGTATTTTCCAGAAGGTTCTAACTAATAAAAATACTAAAAATAAATAAAGTGCAATTTAGCTGATCTACACACAGTTATCCATAAAAATTGCCCCTTTTTTTTTTTTTTTTTTTTAGATTTCTGCTACAGGTCCCATCTGCAGTCTTCTATTTTCTATTCTTTCCTCAGATTTAATAAGTGTTTGAATTCCAAAGTATCTTCAACATGCTTGACCACTTTGTTGTCAACATCAATGAACAGCTCGGTCCTGAAGCATTGAAAAATGAACTGCCGTTGTGAGATTATTTAGATTATTTCTAAAAGTTGAGCAGAACCTTATTTCATCTTTAGTGTGTTACGCCATGCCTCCTGTATGATGATAACTCTTGTTCAGGCTGACAGCTGATTATGATGTTTAATGAAATTTTCCATGTCTGTCAGTGTTGAGCATGTTATGGATTCAATATTTGAGGTTGTTACATTTCTAAATAGTTTGCTATGTTTTTCTGTGGTTGTTTTTATTTGTCCAGTTTCTTTATAAGAAAATACTCATCCAGGTTTTACCATGTGTCTATTCTTCTGAAGTGCTTATTGCATAACCTTTGCTAATTGCTTTTTTTCTTTATCTTTCAAACAGGCAATCAGTGTCTTTTGCATTCATTTTTTCTTGCTTTTTGGTTGGCTTCTGCCTCCTCTTTCTTTCAGGGGAGTTATTTTTCAAGAGAATGATGCAATCCAAGTCTCAATCTCCTGTCTGTGCTGCATTATAACTTTTGCTCCTGAACCCACACTGAAGCGGTGAAACACTCGGTTGAGACTGTACCTGTTACAATTCAGAAATATGTGTGTGTGACATGAAATGCTGTTTATCATTAAAATATAAGTGCTTTGCTTGCTGTTATAACTGATTTCCTCACTTATTTTTAAGTGGCAGGAGGTTGTCAGGTGTAAATTAGATGACAGATCTTATTGCTCACTGTCAGATCTGCAAAGTGGACGTGAGACAGTGGTCAAATCTTGTGATCTTTATAAGAAATGGTTTTAACTAACAATAGTTATATGTATGTGTTATGTTAAAGGAATAGAAAATCCCATAAAACTATATATTATCAACTAGTCTAAAAAATGTGTGTATGGACTCTCAGTTGTTGAGGTCACCATATATAACTTTTTTGTCTGTTTTTACTCTTCTTATGAGTTTCCCAGTAAGCGGATTACATGAGTAGATGTGTTGTGGATTAATACCTTGATTTTTTTTTATTTAAAAAAAGGTATTTAACGCAGCAGATAAAAAAAAAACACAATTTTAAATTTGTAATATTATCTTTCATGTTCCTACTAATTGAGAACTTCTGTTTATCTAACGATGTATTTATTTCCTCTCAAATGTTGACGTAGCGCTTTTCCAGGTGATCCTGCAGAACGGCCGCGTGCCCGAGGCGCGCCAACTCAACATTTGGGAATCGTGAACGCGCAAGGGCAGCAATGCCCGCGTCGGACCGGGGAAATTTGAACCTCGACGATTTAGTTGGGCTAAGTTGAGTGAGTGAGGGGCAGGCTGTTGCCCAACAGCTGATAATGATGTCTGGGTAAATTCATGGCACCAGTGTGCCGTTACGTGTGTGTGTTCCCTGAACGCAGCACGGCCCAAGCAGAGGGCCGCTGGGTCCTAATGCGCCAGGGCTGCTCCAACAGCAACACAAACTAAGTTTAAACATTCTTTTAGCGAGAGGGAAAGTCTTAAGGCACCTTGAAACAGGTTGATTCACACTGGTCGGTTAGTTATACAAAAACAATGTGCACATAATGATTTTTTTTGGTGGTGTGCTGCCACTGTGGGGAGACAGTGAAACCCAAAGCCTTTGAGAAGCACAGAGATCTGCACTGGTCCCTGAGCATCAGCGTTCCTCTGATCGGCCTCCTCCAAATGTTCCCTGATCTGTAGAGAAGCTGGAGGATAGATCTCCTGGGGTCAGTGTCCTGTCCTCAAAAGCGTGTCCTCGCCACCAGTACGGTCCAAGTATTATTCAAAAGGTTTAAGTAAGGCACCTTTTACAGTTTTGAGCTGCTCAGAATAGTTTTGATTAGAATATTTAGTCACATCAAGGATGCAGAACATGCAAATATTTCATCCAACATAGAGGAGGCTCTTTTTGATTTTGTTTAATTTAAAAGGTGCAGAAACGCATGTTGTAATATACTTTTTTAGTTTATAAATCATTTATTTACATCTCTGTGTGTAGAGGAAAACCACACCGATCATCCTCCACTCCTCTTTCCAGAGTTTCTCCATGGTGGTCCAGGAACCTGCCCCCTGGTGTGCACTCCTTCTCCTCTTCTCTGTCTAAGAGAGCCTCTTTGTTGAAGCTGACTAAGTCCACTGAGTCTAACTGTCCTCTGTGTGGGACGAGGACAGACAGCCAGAGCAGCAAACACATCAACAGTAAGCCCACTGTTCATAGACCCTCGATTTCTTTTCTGTTTTCTGTCAGCCTGTTTCTTTTCGGCTGATTTACCTGGCGTTTAATCACAGCAAAAATAATTCTATGGCACTTAATGCAGTTAGAAATTCATCCAATCTCTTGGACCACGCTCCAGAACAATTCAAAGGAAAAACTGTCCATGTGTCCAAACTGGCAAAGGCTGTCCAATTAGCATGGCGTAGCGTGTTAGCATGGCTGTAATATGTGTTATAGAGCACTATATGCAATAAAATGTGGTTGTATGTAATATATTTCCTTCTTAACACTGTTTTTTTCCTACTTATGCCAGCTGAATTCTGTTTCGTTCCCACACAGTATAAGAAAGTGATGTGAACAAACACTGTAGTGGTCTGGATCCAGAAAGCAGAAGTTGTATAGTCGGAAGCTTGCATGCAATGTTAAGCTCTCATATACGTGTTATATATGTTCTGCAAGTTGGTGGGAATGATACTATTTGTCAGGAATTTTATACATTTTGTTCCATCTGTATTTTTGTGTGACTAAATTGCATTATCTTCGTCAGAACAACATACCTATATTTGTTGCTAATGTAATTTCCAAAATGATTCAAAATTATAATTTCACCTCAGTTCTTGATTGATGGATTAATAAAGACTTTCAAGTAATTTGGAGGGAGTTTGAAGGTTAGTGAATGGTTACTGACAAGTTAGTGCCATTCAATTTTCTAACACCAGATGGTGCCAAATAGAAAGGCATGGTTTTCTTTTCTCTCTTTTTTTGTGGTCTGTACTGGTACACATTATAAAACTTTTTTTTTCTGTGAGACTGTGGTGCTTATCACCACACCACCATGCAGCCCTGGATTCATAAAAATAAAGCTTTTCTGTATTCATTTACTGTGTTAATGGAAGCTAGATTAGTTATTGTTGGTGTAGATTATTATTCATCCTGTTGATGATAATCCAAATGGTTTAAGTAAAGGCAACTGAACTTCTTAGATCTTTGAAAATGTTTCTCCTCTCATCCTAATGGGTTCTTCAGTTCTACATTACATGTTGGGTAGTACCGGCTGATAAACAGTAAGATCTTGCAGTCTGAGCCTTTGGCCAATGCAAGTGTATTTTAAGTCGTTCTCACATTTAGGATTTTCTCCTCAAGATTTCAGTTGAGTACTGAAGAAGCCTTTTGGAAAATCCAGGAGGTTCAGGTGTCTTTGCTCAAGCTGTGAGGATAAATAATTTATCCAAAGTGGTAATGAAGACCACTTTATTTGTAGTTAGGGATGATATTAGATACTATCATTATCATATAGATTTGTCTTAATTCTATTATGTGATTTATAGTTTTGAAAAAATCCCCACAATCTTAAATGTGTCCTTAGTTTCAAGCATAAAAAACAGGCCTGTTTTTTAATGACCAAAAAAGAAATATTTAGCAGAAGCAAAACGGTGAAACAAAAAGTTGTTTGGCCAATCAATAATGCATGTATGTGTAAACACATTAATCTGCTCTGCTCCAATACAATCTGACATATACATATATATATAATAAACTGTAGAATGTAATACACTGGCCTTTTTTTGTAGCTCTGGTGTCTGTTCTTCAACAGAAAATTTCAAAATTGGTCCACTTCTTAGAAGCAAAAAAATCCAAGTTAGTTCAAACTATACCAAATACATTCATTTAAATGAACAGATTAGTGCTAATTCTGGCATTATCTGCCACTTAGCTACACAAATATGCTACTTTCTAAATGTTATTTCTTGTAATCAGAGAGACCGGAAAGAAAAGTGGAGACAGCACGAAGTGTAAATCTTTATCTTTTATTAAATCAAATGATACTATATTTTCTTCTTTAATGCCTACTGGTAATTCATCTATCCTGCAATCAGAGTAGCTTTAAAGCATACCATGCAAAGCCATTATACTTTAGCCACAAGACAAATTATGGCCCACCACCTCATCTTTGAGGCTGTGGTTAATAAACGTGCTTAAAACGCTGTTTAAAACCCACCTCTTGTCTCGAGGAAACACTTGTGGTAGCCACTTTGTTGAAATTTTAGCACCACCACCCCATGCTTGTTCCCTTAATTGCTACTTCATAGCTAGATGAATGGAGATGTGTGCTGGGGCAACAGGAGGCCGCTGCCTTCTGTCATCAGTGAGAATTGAGTAAGAACACCCCTAATGTGGAGAAAATTTAACCTAAAATTGTGCAGGTTTTCTGTAACCGATACTACAAATATGACAGTTTTAACAATACTGTCATTACGTATCACAATTCATATTAGAACTGGCATGGCCCTGAGAAAATATCTTTTCCTACTACCTAATAAGCTATTAAAACCTAATTTTGGGGGGATCTCATGATTTTTCCCGCTTCCCACACATCAACCATATATCATCTGACATGACATTTGTCTAGTAAAGCACTGGGTTTTTAAATTGCTTATGGCTTTATGAACAATGTTAAATACCGAATAAATATAACTGGTGGCTACATAATGCACTCACTGCTCTGAAGGATGCATCACCCTAAGTTATTTAAAAACTGGTACCCTTCCTATACAGTTTGGGATGCTTGTGGAAATATAACCTTCATTAAACCAGTTCTTCACGAGTCAAATGCAAAATGAGCCTTCTTTCTTTAGAAAAACTAAACCCCACCCTGCTTTAAAAAATAAACATTTATAGTAAGACTTGCGTGTTGAAAAACTAACAATAGCACAGCAGTGGACAAAATGCCAAATGAACAACATCAGAATGCACAAGATTACAATCAGTACACTGGCAGAACATAGTACACAACTAAGAAATACTGAAAACAGAAAGTGACCCTACATATATATATGTAAATATATATATATATTGTATATATTAGTAGATATACAGGAAGGCAGATTTGCTTTGCGTAGAACAAAGCTACTCTTCTCCTTCTTGTTATAATCTTTGCAGAAGCACTTAGTTCTTCTCTATACAGAACTGAGACATGTATTTTAAGGAGGGAATAGACAAGAGTAGACCACTACTCAACCACAGTAGAGGAAATAGGACTGACACTGTGTTCCAGTGAGGAAAACACTCCATAATGGATGGGTAATTTTATAGTGCTACTCTACAGCCACAATATCCGTGGATGATTTCAGCCATTAGCCTCACATGCTGTCCTTTATGGCCACTCCTTGAAATCTGATGAGGAAACAAATATGAGCAAATGTGTTTTCTGTTCTAATGGGTACATCCTGAAACCCTTAAAATGTGACAGATTCTTGGCAAACTGTAATCAGTCTGCATTTGTACTAATTTTTTTTTTTTTTAAAGTGCATCTTGGTATTTTTGCCGCTATTCCTCCACCTGGTATTCCAACGTGTGACAGAGTGAAATGATTCACACACCACCTCCCTGACAAGTGTGACTTCCTTCCACACCCACACAGGAGATGCTGCGGTGCACACAGCAACTGTGAGGAGTTCATCAATTCTGAGCAAAAAAGCATTGGAGTGGGTAAATGAATTATTATTGGTTTTAGATTTATGATGTGGTTTCTTTGTAATTTGCAATTCTAATGTATTTCATGGAACCTTTTGAGCAGACACCCCAAAGCACGATCAACTCTGAGCAGCTGAAGTACTTTCAAACCATATGACTCAGTGCTAATGTTCAATGGAGTCTTCAAGCCTTTTCTTTCATAAACAAATTGCAGACTACTTAAAGAGCATTGCGTTGCTTGGCTGAATGATTGCTTTTGCACTTAAGAAAGGGCAGATTCATAATGACAAAGGTACGCAAACAAAGCAAAAGCATCTGAGCTGAATTGACGCTGTCAGTTTACAAGGAGCCAGAAAGAATGCCTTTGTGTTACTGTGACTCACAGTGACATTAATTGTCTCCAGCTCAGCGACAAAGACACGGAAAGCAAAGGGTAGCTTCTCCTCATCAAAAGATGCAAATAGGCTAGCCTTGTAAGACATGCACACTAAAGCTGAATCAAATCCCTCTTTCTTGGGCCAAGGTCCACTCTCCTGTCTGGATTAAATATGCACGGCGTACCAGGAGTCCTGCATGTTCAATTTATTTTACAACCAATTTAATAATGAATAATGACACAAGGGGGATCTTTTCAAAGACTCCGGGTCCCCTGTGCAACTGGAAATGTCCTGTCTTCAGCTACAAACGTTAAACGTAGCCCTTTCATGCCAGTAATACAGAGCCTCATCAGTATTATTCATAGGATGGATTTCAAGGAGAAGCTATAAAGGCTTTACTGTTACAGAGAGTCTATTAGCTGATACAACATGTGTTATATCCTCAGCAGCAAAGGACAGAAGAGCTACATTTCATGTGTAACACTGGGAACTATCCACTGAGCACAGAACCTTATGACATATTTATGATACTGTTTTTAAGGTGCACATTTTCCATACAGAATAAATTATGATCTGTCAGCATTGGCTTGCTATGCAACGCCCTGGTGTTGTGACGGATGGAAACTGATGCTGCAACTTGGCAAAGGGACAAACTTAACAGTAAGTGACACCTCTGTAGACAACAACCAGAAGCCTTCTCATTTTTATAAGGACTGTGGTACCTTTCTGTATACAGATTTTAGACAATGTGTTGATAATTAGTAAAAACAAAATACTTCCCTGGATCTAATGTGTATCTGATGGAGGCATCCCATGTATTTAATTGTGCAAAAGTTTTGGTTGGGTTTTACTGTAGATGTACAGCAACTAAAAGGCAGCCATTCTGTTACATTATTAATTTACAATGCAAGTTGGTTCACAACTTTGTAATACACATCTCTGTAACTTGATCCCTTAACATGGGGAAGGAAGAAACAGCCCTGTATTGTTTGGCTGAATATGTCTAAGACAGTGAATAAGGATCAGTTTGAATAACTGTATGTAGTAAGCAGAATTGCAGAGGGATAAAAATGGCCTGTGTTGAGCTCTTGATATGGTCAGAGGAATCGTTGTTTTATTACCTCAATTATATCTATCTAAGCTAGGATCTTTAATCATGTGGTTTTATGACATGCAGTTTGACTATAGATAACTCAAGGTGAATGTCATTCCTATTCATAGCATGACGTCATCCTCTCTCCCTGTGATAGAAGGGTTGGATGAATGTATCTATGCCGTAGTGTTAAATACGATGCATTCTATTCTAATCATTCATGATAAATATAATTCTGACCAAGTCATGGTTTTCAGTTAAACTAAATATGAGCTTTCCTTCTGAAAATCTATTTCCAATCCATTTATTTGATCAATTCCCACACCTCTGTAAGTCTATTGATCCCTTCCTGAGTGCCAACATTAACTATATGTCATTTTCTCAGTTAGACTCTATATTTCCATTGTCCATTTCCTTTGCGTTCTTTCACAGTATGAATAGTAATTGCTACAGATTAAAATGCTGGAAAAGTTCTGCTTATTGTCCTTTCTGACAAATCAGTTTCTTAAATCCCTTTGAGATCCTGTCTTCCAACTTGCCTGCAGCCACAGATGAAGATCCCTCCATTGTTCTCTCCCAGAAGTCCACAGTCACAGTTTACATTAACTCAACATATGGCTCATATTGTACCATATACATCCAGTCATATGGCATCCATCATCTCTAGCAGTGTGATCTCAAACCACCATAGGAGTGTCTGAGAAGACGGAGCTGATGGACTCTGCTACTGATTTCTTCCTCTTCCCCTTCATAAGAGAACCAGCCTCCGCATCCAAATCGTCATCGTCCTCATCCCCATTGGGGTTCAGCTTGCCATTCTGGCCCTGTAGGTCCTTGGAGTCTATGAATGCCACATGTCTGTTCAGCTCAGCTTTGAGAGCCGGGTCCTCATGGGTGGGAGTGACGCTAAGCATCGAGGAGTGGATGCTGTCTTCGCCTCTGGCCTTACCTTTGTTGGGGCAGCAGAAACATCGGCATGGTGTCAGGTATAGGTACACCAGCACCAGCACCACGCTGGCCAAACAGCCTATCAAGGTTGTGTAAGCTGTGTTCAAAGTCTCCCCGACTCCATGCAGGGTGAAGTTATGAACCTTTAGCACCACATAGACAGTTTCATTGAAGTACTCGCTTATGGCAAAGCACGTGTAGGTCCCAGAGTCATCCGACCTTAATGGACCTATCTGCAGGCCACCATCTGCCAAGACTTTTGCCGTCTGATTGCTCCCAGGTGTCACCAGCACATTGTCAGGCATCGTCCAGGTCTTTGACATGTCCCTGTGCTTGGTGTCGCAGCTAAGGGTCAGAGTTTGCTCCAGAAAAGCTTCCCTATCGGCCTCCTTGAATGTGCTGCAGTTCATGCTTTCGCCACTGAGATCAAAAACACCTACTTGGGTTTTTTGTGGACCGGGCAGAATGCACGTGTAGTCATCTTTGAAGTCCAGAGCAGAGTTGAGCTTTCGAATGTACCAGTGGGCGAGAAGTGTGTAGAGATCACAGTGACACAGCAGAGGGTTATTGTGGAAGTAGAGGCCATTTTTAATCCAGGCAGGCAGCCCCTTTAGCTCTTCAATGGGCAACACCTTGATCTTGTTGGACGACACATCCAGGAGGCTGAGCTTCTCCAGGCGGGACTTGTCCCTGACCAGCTCCGCGGGGAAGCGGGAGATTTGGTTCTGGCTAAGGTACAGCTTCTGAAGGTTCATCATGCTAGCGAAGGCTGTGCGGTCAATCTGGGAAATTTGATTGTTGTACAGCAAGAGAACCTCCAGGTTGACCAAAGGCTCAAAGATAAACTCATCTAGCTGTTGCAGTTTGTTGGAGGACAGGTCCAGGTAGCGCAGATGCTTGACATTTGTGAATGCTTCTGAGGAAAGAAAATGGAGATTGTTGTGGCTGAGCAGGAGGTTATGGAGATTCGGGAGCTTGACCGGCGTCCACTCCGATCTGAGCCGGACTATGTCGTTGTAGCTGAGGTCCAGCACAGCTGTGTAGTGAGGCAGTTGGGTAGGGACGGTGGTTAGATTCATCTTGGAGCAGCTGACTATGTTTGAAGCACAGATGCACGTCATATGGCAGTTCAGGGTAGATCCTGCTGTCTCTGGAAGCCAGAGGAGAGCAACACAGAGGAAAAGCAACAGGGCCCATGTCTGACACTTATGCGGGTGAGGTAATTTTTCCAACAGGCTGTCACCTGTTCTGGTGGAAGGCTGCACCATACTAGCGGTTGTTCTAAATTCAAAGTGAGGGCTTCTATGATCCCATTCTTGAAAAAAGCAGGGGAGAGCTGCTGAAGGAATCCCGGGAACACTGCTGACTGAAGGCTGAAGAAAGGAGACAAAAAGGAAGGTTTTTTTTAGATGTTATTTTTCAAACAAAACAATATACCACTGTTTCGGGAGATGGAAAGAAATGCCTTTGAAAACAAAATATTATGGGAATCTGTCAAACAACAAATCACGGTCGCCCAACCTCCATGAGAGATCTCACAACACCAAAGGATGTGGCTGAGGGATCTGCCGGTTTCTGACGTTGATTGGGACAGAAACAATTCTTACCACAAAAAAGGAGCCCATTTGCATTAGTTAATACTACTTTGAATAGAACCTGTAACCCAAAACGAAACAATTTCAGTCGCCTGAAGTGCCAGTGCAAATGATCTTACATCTCCCACCTTTGTCTCTTTTCTTCTCTGCTGGAACACAAAGTTTCCCCTGCTGCTTTGTGCGTCTCCATTAAAATAAATGCATTCACAAACCCAGCACTCACGCAAACCCATGTGCATTCACACTCCTCAATAACATGGCAATAATTTCCTTCCTCAGACCATTTCCCCGTCTGTGCCTCACCGTCTCTTAATCTCCCTCACACACAAATACGGCTGCAGACTTTCACTCAAAGAATAAATAAAGGGTTGCCCACACATGCAAAATCATGTAAATATTTACACCGTGTCATGTTCCCCGATGCCCTTGCCCATTTGTCGGAGAGCTCAGCGTTGCATTGCACCATTCTGAGTCAAAATGAACGAGCACAACGTGCAAACACGAGAGGGAAGACATCACTTGCCTGCAACCGGGATGCAGCAGCCTCGCAAATGTCCTTAAAACAGGTCCTCGTTTTGTTTACAACGCGACAGCATGAAAAATCATCCCCTGCTGACTGATTTTCTTTTCCTGCTGCTGAGGACAGCTGCTGCGAGGAGGAGGGAGAGCACTAAGATCCCCCTCGCCAAATTAATCCAGGTCCACGAGGCATCCAACACCCGGTGCAAAACTACGCAAAAAGGAAAACAAACAAAAAAAAACAGGAGAGACAGGAGAAAGCAGATTACGTAAAATGCGGCAGACACCCGTTTATTAAGTAGGCACTCGTCGATGCGCGACGCTGTTCCAATCCGCCGTCTTTGATTTGAACGGAACGAATTTCTCCGGGTGCGCACGAGAGCGGGTATCCGGTTTCTGCACGTTATTGGCGCATTCGGGGCAGGTCCGGCTCACGTCGTGTCTCATCAGCAGCCGCGGGGATCATTAGGAAGGAGCAGGCTGGAGAAGACACGCTTCCTGTGGCTCCGCGCAGGCCGCTCCGCGCGCACTGCTGCTGCGGCTGCAGGGCTGACGTGCGCGCTCCAAGCCCACAAGACGCTGTTTACCGAAAGTGACCGCACAGAAGACGCGCACTGAAAACCCCACGAGAGGGCACGCACAAGTTCATTTCGAGGCTGGGAATGGAAATTAGATAGACCGCTATCTCAAGACATCGTGTTGGTGATGATGATGAGTACAGAGGCGTCTAGTATGGAAAAAGCACGAGCCTCTTGGCATAGGCTAGTAGTTTTACATCATTACCTTTCAGTCTTAAACAAGAGGTGTTATTTTTAAATACACAACAATACTGTCCAACACGTGTTTTGCCTGAAAATGGATTGGCCACCCTGAGTTATTCATCCTTCCATCCCTACCTTCGAATCCTTCATTGCCAAAATTTGTAATTTTATGGTTCAAGTAATTTTATTGTGTATATTATCACAACAGTTTAAAATGCTGGTCATTGTTATCTCTGATAACGCTCTAACATTAAAGACATTTCGCAGCGCCTTGGTGCCCGGATGTCTTCGATTGGTAAATAAGACACACATTTCACTATCATACAGTTGAATGATAAAAAAAAAGCTGTCCCACATTTTCCCCTCTTATTGCTCCTGCACCTGTACTTACCATATGACAGTGGCAATATGCTCAGAGTGAAGCCAGGCTATTCATTTACACACTGCATGAGAAGGTTCTTGGTGAATGGACCATCAAAACATGAGGAAATATGACTATTATTGGTGTATTTATTTTCTCAGCCAACATTAGAATTTTGTCATTACTTTATCTGGAATCAAATATTCATTCATTTTAGCTCTGGTCAACTTAACCTGAGTCGTACCTTGAGGTCCTTTTAGCTTTAAAGATGGCAATTTGGACAGAAAAAAAATCCCTGTATTTAAGCGTAAATCAACCCAAAAATATACAGTTTTTAATATGAACAGCAGGGGATTATTGTGTGGATGACAGCCTGGGCAGGGCAGACAGCCAGCAAGCTGACCAGCTTTACAATGATTCCCACACACGACTCAGGCTATTCTTACTCACTATGCACACTTTGTTTATGTATTTGGGTAGATCTGTGCTGAGTGAGCAGGGGGAAACCTGAGTCCACCCACAAACTGCTTTTTGAGATTTTCTCTGGAGGTTTTCCTGAAATCACAGATTTGCAGCAGTGAGTCTTAGTTTTGGCAAGCTGTGAGGACCAGTATCCTGCCAGTAAACTGTTAGCCTCCCACACACACTGCCACCAGAAATACTACAATAAATTAGGATTATAGCCACAAAGGGATTACATTTTAAAGTCAAGAATTATTCTCTTGCAGTAGCATGTTCCATTTAATATTTAAAACTTAATGCAGTGGGTGATCAACTCTGTAGATTATCTGCAATTGATATCAAAGTCAAAGTCAAGGACCCAGGGATACAGGTAAGTCTGAATGGCATCCTTGTCACATCAGTTCTCTTATTCGCTTCTGTTTCACATCCCTAGTGCACAGAAAAATGAAAGGTCTGCCATTATATAATAACAAACACGTCAGATAAAATTGTCCATGATAGAGAAAGGACATACCGGACTTTAACCTCTGTTAACGTTCTGGCCTTTAAACGTCACTTTCCTTTAATAGGGTTTGAAGATGTCAGGGTCTGGCTTTTCAGGCTTAAAACAATGTGTCCCACCTGTAAAACACAGACAGGTCTGGCTCACAATGACAAGAGACAGTAGCGGAGCTGGACATAGCTTGATAACACTTGCTTTGGCAGGTGAAACACGCTGGCCTGAAGCAGAAAATGGTGGGCAGAGCCAACTAATCCCCTGTGTACAGCGAGTCCTCTGAAGCAGGTCCAACTTGTTTCCAGGTCAAAGCAAACAGTGTTTAGACTGTACACTCACTGATGTATTTTTGCCGACTGTCAATGCATCACACTATGGAAATTCTCAGAGATGTTCTTGCTTTTTTTTTATCTCAGTTTGAGGAATATTCCTGGAAAGGTACAAACCCGTGTGACTCAACACACGGTCAAACCTCAGTCTGACCGGAGCTTTGTATACTGTGACTCTGGTGAGATGGTGCTGAAAGTGATTAATGTTCAGTTCAACGCCACTTCCTGCAGTGATAGGGACAGTGTTGCCTGGCAACTGCCTGCGGCCTTTCGTTGACTGGTTTGGCTTTGTGGCAAATCTGGGGTGGCCTTATCTTCTCTTGTTCTCACATGTACCTGCTCAGATGTGGAAAAAGAGGTTCTTTCTTGATGATACAGTATTTATCTTACAATTAAACCAACATTATACAACTGTATTTTTTGTTAAAATAGTCCAGATTATGCATTTATTTACACACACATATATGTGTGTAATATGATAGGATAGGATATGATATTATATTATATTAGAATATATTATATTATTACTAAAAAATTTCCATTGGAGTGTGTGCAGTTGTTTATCTCTGTGTTACTCTATGATGGCCTGGCAGCTTGTCAAGGGTGTACTCTGCATCTCAGCTAATATCAGTTTGGGGAGGCTCCAGTTCCCCCGCAACCCTACAAGCAACAACCAGCATTGACATAGGACGGATGGATATACACTTGTGGTTGTTCAAACCTCTTTTTACTACAATTTTACAGACTACACACTGATTTTTCTGCTTTATAATCCATTCACACTCACCAAAAATACCAAATATTTCATAAAGCATTACAGGCGGCAGCAGTTTCAAAGGCTGTGACTTCTTTCTACACCTGTGAGGTCGGTTGGACCTTGTACATTATGAAGCCAGACAACACCATAAAATGATGTTTACATACAATACTCTTTTGCTGGGCCCCACCTATCTGATCTGGTTTCTTGGTAAACACACAATCTCCTGTTCCCAAGCTGACAACGGTTTTGCTGTCAGTCTCATTTAGTCTTTGGTGGTCTTCAGCATCTATAGGAACAGCTTCTAAAACTAGTTTTCTTTGAGGAAAAACATTGCGACTGGCTTGTATGCCTTTCAGCTAAATATTTATCTTATAGTGCATTGCCAAGCATGTTGTATATCAAAGTCTATTATATATAGGCTGCGCTCCGTTTGGTTACTATTACTTTACTGAGTAGAGAAACAGGGCACATTTATCATTGATCTGAATTTCTGTTAATTTGATGCAATCAATCAAATCTAATGATATCTGGGTAGAAGCAGGATCCACCCTGGAGAGGTGACCAGACCATAATAGGGCCACTCTCACTCCTAGGGACAATTCAGTCACCAATTAATCAAACATGCATTTTGTGGAGGGTGCTGCAACCATGGGCCATAATGAGTACGTTGTGCACACTGCTTTAGTAAGGAGTATTGATTAAAGTGGCTGTAGGCCACTGAGCAATTTGTGAACACATTTGTGTGAGGACGTTTGAAATGACGTCAGACCCGTTTCTGGTACGTTTTCTCTCCTGAAAGTTTTACCGCTCTAATTCATTTATTCCTCTTTGTTTAGATCTGGGTATAGTTCAATAAAAGATCACCAGCAATGCACCAGTGATGCAGGTAACGGTGTCCAGGTACCGCCTGGATCTCCTCAGAGGTCAGGCTGCCCTCCTCACTGTATCACTTCCCTCTGGCTAGAAAAAAAAAAGAAGCGTTTGATCCAGGCAGATTCAGAGATAGTTTTGAAGGAGAGAGCAAAGAAGAAAAAAAAAGCCGCAATCTTTGCCTAGCTGTCTGGTCGGCTCTTGGTTTCCATAGCAACGCTTTCAGTTTTGTGTTTGATCAGAAGTGAAGGAACAGCACAAGGTCACTTGACAATCATTTCCCTGAGAAGAAGCCCACATAGATGCAACCTGCTTCCATGAAAGCAAAGTGTCCGCAATCCTGGCACGTCTTTTTCTCCCATCGCTTAGCAACAGGATGTGTTTGAGCCGGTTGTGTGTTGACGGCGGAGACCATGAGTCTTAATCATGGTGGAAGGGGCAGCAGGTGTCAGCTTAAACCAGGTGTGTTCAACTCCGGTCCTCAAGGGCCGCTGTCCTTCAGGTTTTAGATATTTCCCTGCTTAAACACCCCTGATCAGTGTGCAGGGGTAAAAAAATCTTTAGAGTAGATCCATTTAGTCAGAATCAGTTGTGTTGAAGGAGCGGAATATCTAACTCCTGCAGGACAGCTGCCTTCAGGGACGGGGGTCGAACACCCCTGAGCTACACTGAGGCCTTGTAAGTTCTGACAATGGGCGTAATCAGGAGGCAGGAGACTCATTGTTTAAACTGAAGCCATCAGTGTTGCAGCAACAAGCTTGACTGTAGTATATGTCTGTAATTATTTGTGCCAAGTGATGCTGACAGGGCTCATTACAGCGCTATTTTTAGCTGCATCTGGATAGCATGAAATCTGCAATTATTGACACAGTAAAGACGGGAAAAACAAAAGATCCGGTCTTGTTTCATTGACATTAAGAAATAATGAATGGGAACAGATATGGCGGAAAGAGGCATCTGCCAGGCTGTGCTTTTAATGCCTGTTAATCCCTTTGTATGGGTAAAGATAAAGGAGCTAATGCATGTGGCCATGCCCAGTGGAGAGTGATGATTGTTACCTAATGGAGAATAAGAGACAACAAAATATAATCCTCGGTGTTAGTGATGGCAGCCGTGTGCCTTCACCAGGAGTGTCATGCACAATAACAAGAGCAGAAGATGGGAAACAAATTAAATAGTCGCTGACTGGAGTTTTTGCAAAATAGAAATCACTGCTGTTTGTTATGTTACCCTGCAGTGTGCCCATGTTTACTTGTACTCTGCAACATGCTCAGGTTTGTTCTTCATGTTCAGTTTCTGACTCAGAGTTTCTTCTAACTCCACGTTATGGGCAGGATATCAGTAGGTGAAGCAGCGGTCACCACACAGCCTACTTACTCGCCAAAGAAAATGTTCTGTCCCTTGCAAATGACTGGATGCCAAAGTCACTCTTGTTATCTTTGCTAAAAGCGTATCCAGCAAAAGTGGGCCAGTCGAAGAGCTGACCTGTAAGGCTTGTTTGCAGAGCACTTGACTTTTTTTTTTCACCCTCATTTTTCACTTTGCAGAGACTGTGTTTGTGGGCAATAGTGGCAAAACGAGCCTGGGTGGAGAGGTCTTCACTACAGCTCTCCAGTCAAATGGAAACGACTGAGCTCCAGAGGAGACAGAAAATTGCATCGCAGTGTTGGAGAGCTGCAATGAGACTGCACAGTTTTGAGTTTCTTTTAATGGGAATGTCCATGTTGAAGTTTTTACCCATTCTAAAAAACTGGAAGTAGGGCAATAACCAGTCCAACGAAGTGAAGTGCCACATATTGAATTCAGTGTTTAATGCTGCAGCAACCAGAAGCTTTTAACAGGAACGGAAATGACTAATTTCCAAAACCTCAGAGAACTAAGTACGGTAACATGACTTGATAAAGGGCTCGGTGCCAAGAGATACAGGAGGGGCGTGTTATTGAGTGGCTGTATTCTGGAATGATAACAAAGACACGATTACAGAGCTTGCTACGTGTATCTTCTACACTTTTTCTTAAAATGAATTGTCCTCTAAACCTAACCCAAGATTAAGGGGAGTGATCGTGCATTATTTGGCTGTGGGTGGCTGGTGGGTCATGAAGGAAAAGGGAGGGTGAGAGGAGTAATGCCAGGCTGAAAGCAGAGATCCTTGAGGAGAGGAGAATGAAGGGAGGCAGAATGAGAGAGAGTTGAACAGAATGTCCTTTGGCTCTGAAGACAAGTGTCCTATTGCATCCTTAGATCAGGGGTGTTTACCGAGTGCCTTTATTTATTCAGCTTGGGGCTGTGAATAATGGAGCGCGCCTCGGAGCTGAAGACACAGCAAACGGATGGGAAGCAATGCTCCGTTTCCACTTGCATGTGTACATCAACACATATACGTCAGTGTAATTGAGAGAACACCTCCGCATCTTATGAGCTCACTGACCTCGCTGGTGCTTCTAAAATTAAGTATCCTGCTCAAGGCATTCAGTTGCCCCCTCTTCACCTTCCCTGACACATGCCGTTTGACTGTCAGATGCTAGAATGAGATCCGGAGAGGTCTCCCTTAAGCATCACTTCCTCTCGTTTCCTCTGAACTCTGGCCTTCCCAGCGTCGACCAAAACATAAACCCGACTGTCCCGATTGCATAAGACAAACGCGTTATACATAATAGCCCAGCAAGGACTGAGCATGAATAAGAGGATTTTCCAAACAGGTTTTAGGTTTCCCCCTTTTTAATCAATCCTCTGAGCTCTTTCCTGCAATTTGTTTTGTTTTGTTTTTTCAATCCCAGCATGCCCCATTGGTACATCGGCCCAAAAAGCCATTTCAGTTGTAAGACAGACAAGGAGACACATGTTAAACTGCAGCTGTTCTTTGCAGTTATTATATAATGTCTGCTAAAGCCCATTGCAGCATAGGATTAGGATATGAATGAGTCAGTAACTTTGGTGCTGCAGGGCTGATCTATTATTCAGGTGTTGGTTCACCTCAAAAGCTCTGCCTTTTGCAATCTGCTGGACAAGAGGCCAACCTGTAAACAGGCATCAGAGGTAATAAAAGACAACAAAATGTGTCAACAGTTCATTTGGGTGGGGGAAAAAAAGGTTTACTGTTTAGCCAGGGGGTTTCCAACAGTACCAGTCAACACAAATATTCATTTTGAAGCTTTTGTCTCAAGATCATGAGTTAGTCATTCTATATGCCAAGAAAACAAAGCTTGCTCTGTTTTGAAACGGTAAAAATATGACTCTTTGGAGACGTGATTACAGAGTGGCTCCTGTGTTAATTTATCATTCATTGTTGCAGCCGTGACAGTTGAATATCTAAAATATTCACAAGATTGGAATTGTAATGGAATTGTAAAGCTCTGTGCCTGTCTAGGTTCAGCAAATCTCTGCTCTTGAGCACAGACAGTGGTGTTTGCGGTCATAAAGTTTGACACTGCTACATTTAAGCCAGTAGTCACCTTTCAGGACTATCCCACTGTTTGAGGCGGTAGTGGGACAAAATCAGAATTTTGAAAAATAAACCCTGTCATCTAGTAATGGTGATTAACATGACCAAATATTTCAACAAGATCAGCTTGTCTTTTAGGCATTTATTACGTATTTCAACATTTTTCAATTTTCCAGTGGAAATCAAAGCACACAGAAAACACAATTCTGTCTAACCTGTGTTTTAAAGGATGAATTGAAATTTTGATTGCAGACTTCTCTAATTACAGTATGTGAAGATTAAATAAACAGTGGCAAACACATCTTCAGTGAAGGAAGAAATCTGTTGGCACATCGACTGAGAAAACTGAGCATTAAATCTTATCTGCTCCACATTTGTTTTGTTTTAGTTTTTTGTTTCACCAAGTCTTTTTTGTCCACTTGGGAGCAGCAGAAAGTTTTGAATCTGAAAAAGTTCCCTTTTAGCTCAACAGGGAATCAAATCATCGGTAAATGGTCATAACAATTACTTGCAATTACAAATTGCATTAATTTATTTCTGTCTGTCAAACTGACAACTGTCATTTTTGTTTTCAAGAGCTCCATCAGCTTTTATGATTGTGACATTTGGTGCTGTGCAGAAAGTTCCATGAGGACTTAACAGCCTTCTTGTGGCATCTGAAAAAGCAAAAAAGCCGTCGTGATGCTTTTGAATGATGTTTTTAGAAATATTGATATTCAAATAAAGCGTCTGAGAACAGCCTTTGATCTTGGTGTTTTTTGTTGCACTAAATTTCTTTGGAGATTAATTTCAGAATTCCTAAAACTTCAAATTTAGCGGACTACTCATTTGCAAAGCTCCTGCAGCCCCCGATGCCATCAGACCCGGTGCCTGACATTTGTGTTAATGGTTGTCAAGGGACATCTTACATGCTGGAACCCAAACCATCACAATGAGGACACGAGTTGTGTAAATTAAACAGGCTTCTTTTGAGCCAGTGTCAGGCTGTAATCATCTTCAGCTCTGCTAACAGCCTTGTGAGGTTTAAAGGATTTATGATGCCCTTCTTCTCCTGCTGCTGCTTCTGTTAATCTCAGCTGCTCCCAGCAGAGTGCCGACACGTCGTGAGAAACAAGCTGATTTCTGTCGTGTAAAAGAAAACATCCAAACATCCTTTATATCAAGCTGCTGCTATTTCCCTCTGTCATAGCACATGTAATTATAGCTCGTATTTCCCTTTCTCATGCAGTGTTCTCTGTCAGTGAGGTCTGATGCTTTCTCTGATTTGGCATAATTTCAACCAGGAATTAGAATTAAATATCTATTTTATTTACTTTACTTAGCTTTGACTCTGTGATGGTAAAGTTGGACGTGTTGTGTGTGGTTTCTGATGATTGTCTGCCATAATGAAAGGAAAAGTTATTGGACATGTTTTCTTTGTAGGCAAGCAGTCTTATTTATAGCACAGAAAAACAGGAAAAAGTATAAAACATGTACCTGGTTCTGTCCAGCTTTGATGAAATCTGTGGACAACCACCTACAAACTCACTTACTAGTTTTGTGGCATTTGAATGGTGAATTGTATGTTTATTGAAAAGCATGAGTAGTATCAATTTTTACATTTAAAAAGTCAAACTGAAGCTTTGTTCCAGTAAAGGTTGGCCTAGAAATCTGAAGAAAATATCCCTAAATGTGAAGGCATTCCTGAACGAGTCTTAGCTGCTATTGGACCACACGTTTGTTGTCAGTGACCAATCTGAAGGCTGCCTGACTGACTTTCCCTTTTTCCCTCTCCTAAATGCTGACAGCTGGCTTACATTATTAACCATGCAGCATCTGTTTGGATTTCACATCCTCATCTCTCTCCTCCTCCTCTTCCTCCACCTCCTCCTCCTCCTCTTCCTCCTCCTCCTCCTCTTCCTCTTCAAAATCTCGCCTGCAGGACTCGGCTCGCTGTGGCTCTAATGAGGACAGAAGACGTGAGAGATTGCAGCAGAGAGAGAATATTGAAATAAGGGTGGTAGATTATAAAGAAGGGACATGCACTTTACTGTTTTTGAGTGCAGTTAGTTGTGGACTCTTTCAGTGGGAGTGGGTTCACGCTCCTACGGACAACCATTAGCACACTGAATCCCCACCCTCTGACAGAGCCACAGAGAGAAAAGCTCACAAAGGGTACTAATATCTGACAAGTCTGCATGTCACTGTTTCACTTTTGCTAACCTTTGGTATTTCTAATGTTCTCATGAATATGTATTTCATGATAATTTCGGTCGACTAATGATACTTTGCACAATTAGTAATACATTTTTACCGGTTGTAAAAGCAGGGAGAATGGGCTGCTCAGTAGTATTAGAATTTGAACTTTCTATTTGATTTATCACTCTTTATAAAACTAAGCATTTTCAGAAGTGTGCCCTACAGGATATAACCATTCAAAAATCAATCATTGCATGTTATTTTTCTCACCAGTGACACCTCGTCGTTTCATCTGGAAAGAAATCAACAAGAGGCTAAATGTCTGATTCCATTCAAATTCAAATTGGTTTCGCATGCATGCTGCAAAAGCCTGATTAGTCTGGTGGAAACCCCTTTGAATACACCGCTGTTTTTCTGAAAAACACAGAGAAAGGAAAGATTTTAAGCACGTCAAGCAGCCTGTGATGGCTATTTCAATTTGCTAACTTTTCTTTTAAGACATTTAAATCTTGTAATGACACACAAAGTCTATTTTTTGGGACATTATTTGAGCATCTGTAGTTTCAGTGCTGCAGACTTCAACCATAGCTTAGTGGCTGTATATTTCCTTATGTCACGCTGAATATGCTTTCACCAAACCCACTGCTTATTTTTGCAGAGTTGAGGAAAAGTGCAAAGGTGTTTCCTCTGCTGCCTTCACCTAATGACTTACTAAGTTCCCTTGATCTCTGCTTTCTGATCCTTTCAGGCTCTCCTCATTTCTAAATAATTCACCTTCTTTAAGTCATCCCATCACCTTGTCTGGTATTTACAGTGTACTCCCCAGTTTTCATTCAGCACATTTATTTGAACCCGTAAGAAAAGTCCTTATTGTGTAAGTGATAAAAACTGGACTTTAAAATGTCCAAATGTCCCCTCAGTGCAGTCCCCTCTGGAGAGGGTGAGGAATCTTTACAGTTGTTGCAAATATGCACATTTTTGTTTTGTTTTTAGGTGTAATTAATTCACATGATCATAAATTAGCAAATGAATCAGTCAAACAACATTACACCATTCACAGTCAGCTGGAAAAATTAAAAGATATAGAAACTGAAATGAAAGCCTTATGCTCTTGTAGTAACAGACTGAACATCTTGTGAATTTGTTTGATAAACTGTTTCGTGCGAGGAACCAATTAAGCGACAAGATTAAACACCTGACTTGAATAACAACAAATCTCCTCACTGACCTGCTGCCTCCAGCATGAGACCTTTCTGCATGATGAGCTGTGCTTTTTGTCCTAATAAGAAACGTTTGTTAGACGTGCTAACAGGCCAAACATGTTACCATCACCATGTACTGACATCCCAAAACAGCTCTTTGACAGATCGCTAGTAATTAACCACTGAGTATGAATCAAGACTCATCAAGGTTAAGGAAAATCTTAACAATTTTTTTTCCCACATTCAAAAAGAATGATTCAAGCTTTCTGCTGGTAGCAGGATGTGGAATCAAATGCGAACGCCAGTCCAGTAATGAATGTTGGAGAAGGTGTGATGACTGCAGCGCTGGTCCTGATTGATGTACCGCAGCCATAGCTCAACCAGCAGAGCTGATTGGTTTCTCTGAAAACTGCACAGTGGCTGTGTGCTTTGGTCAGTACTTAGATTTACACACAGTAGCTTACATAAATTGTGTCTTGTCACAATGATTTGTTACACTTAGATTCCGATTTCAAATGGATGTTTATTCCTCTGGTGCTTCAGTGTGAGTGAGAAAAGACGCATCAGAAATTGATATTTCATGAATAGTTTTTCAGTTAACTCGATTTCATATTGTCTTGAGTCTCCAAAAGGCTGATTTTCTTTACACGCCTGCCAGTAAACCAACAATGGACTTACAAAGACAGTCAAACATTGTGAGAAGCTGCCCTGTGGTGGTATACTACTGTCAGCCATTAAAAGATGTTGGCTGCACAGATTTTAAATCTTCATGAGTTGCTCATTTAATTTGTCCAGTGACTAATCATGCACCTGAAGCGGTTTCAGCTATATCGTAACAAAAGAATTCTGAATATTTCACTAAGTCCACCTTTGTTTTCTACCAGGTCATTTTGTAGCATTCTGAGTTGTGTATCTCTATGACTGATGGAGGTTGAGTGTATAAAGCAGCAAGGACCCTGCAGGTTATTTGTGACTCAGTCAAAGATGCGTCAACTCAGTGCACCGCCCTCCAGATGCTGCATATAGCCAAATGTCCCTGATACTCAGCGCAGTCCCCTCTGGAGAGGTTTCGGAGTGAGGAATCTTTAGAGTTGACGTAAAAGATGTAAATTTCTGTTTTATTTATAAACATAATTAATTCACATGATCATAAATGAGCAGATGAATCAGTCAAATAACATTTCATTTTCACATTCACATCAAAGAATTAAGAAAAAACAAAACCGTATAATATGGATTTAAGACCTTATGCTCTTATGATAACAGATGCACTGAACATCTGGTGACTTTTCTTGGTTCCTTGTGCTGGGCTAGGAAGCAATTAAGCTACAAAATAAAACACTTGAGTTGAATAACAACAAATCTGAGCACAGCGAATGAGGAAAAACACTAACCTCAAGAGTAAAAAGTGAGACGGAGGAATCAGAAAAATGTGGCTAAAATAAAGAAGCATTAGGTGCAAACTCTTGTTTCTATAAAGGATTTGGCTTGCTCTTCGCATTTCAGTGTCATTATTCTTCCACAGGCAGACAGCAGCCCGACACATCGGTTCCCATCAGTGACTCAGTGAGTGCAGGATGTCAGTGCAAACCTGGAGCCAACAGATAAATACAGTGCTAATTGTGTCTGGAAAGCAATGCATTACTCTGGGAACTGAAACAGCACAAACCAGACACTGTCACAGAATACAGAATCTATAATTATGTATATTTATGCATATTTATACCAAATTATTGTTTACACATTAACAAGGTTGTGCACAGTAACTTGCATTTTTAAGTTTTGAAAATACTGTATCATACTCTCCCCAGTGTTTCCCTGCATCATTTCACTCATGGAGCACTAATACCCCATTTGAGATCATTCATCTCAGTATGAAGTTATATCAAAATATTCTTGCAGAACAAGTCATCCCTGGGGCTTCTACGGGAGTCAAATCATGATCTCCTCCTACCAGATCTGCAAGTGTGTGCGCAAAGGGCTTGAAAGCACTGAATGTCATTCAAAGAAGAAGTTTCATTGTGAAATCGTTGAGGACTGTTGACAAAACTGTGAGTGTAAAAAATTGTAATAAATTCGGTCCCATGCGCAGGTTTACATGAATGATCAGAAAGATATTTTGACGGTAGTTCTGGTTCTATTTTTTGTCAAATGTGAGAGCTCCCCCTACTGAAGACATCTGAGAGTTCTTTGGAAAGGCACATCGGATCAGTGGCAGCCAATTGAGCATGTATCATCCCACCTGTGTTTAGTGAAATGGGGAGAAAAAGAATCAGAAAACAATCCCCAGTGGTCACAACCACGGTGAGGCAACGCTGAACGGCTGCTGCTGCACGCAGCGAGGAGTGTGGAGTGTGCCCTGAGGTTGATGCCGGTGGTGGACGGGAGAAGGAGGGGGGGGGGGGGCAGACGGGGAGACTTAAGTCTGGGTTTCCATGGAAACCATTGTATTTCCCTCCCTTGTGATTGGTGCTGCTGGCATGAGCAAGTATCTGCTATTTCTGTCATGATTCAACACCTCAGACACAAGCGTGGTCACAGGACATACACACACATTACCAAACACAAGGACTCCTTTATACTGCCTTGAAAATGCTTTTCTGTTTTTTTCTACCGTCATATCTTCAAGCATTATACATTAAACCCATTATTGATATTCATCACTCATGGCCTCAGTTCCCTTGCATGCTGAAACACATTTTGGGGAAAAATCATTATCTGATCTCTCTTCTGCAAAAGATCATGTGAGCAAGCTGCCTGATTGTCCCATTGTACCTGCAAACCAAAGGCAGCATGTTGTTGGACAAAGCACAGCCAGATATAAACGGTGACACCGTAACTGGACTGATAAATGAATATGTGTTCAGATTAGCAATTGATTTTTCGGTGAAAAGAAACAATGACTCATGAGCAAATCGGGGTATGTGGAGTTTCACGTCGAGGGATGAATGAATCATTCAAGAACCACGGTGCATTTTCAACCTCAGGAAAATCCATCCACTGGAAATTCTGCATCAGAATAATGCACAAAACATGAAAGGAGTAGAGTTGATACATGCAACAGCATCCTCCATACATCAAAGGATTTCTCCTTGTGTCCAAAGCAGTTGCAATAAATCATCTCAGTGGGTAAAAATAAGATTGACAGAAAAAAGAGCTTCCCATAGATTAAAGTCACAAGATAATGCATTAGGTGCAAAGGAGAATTCACAGAAATGTTTCCCTTGGAAAGGAGTCCATACCTAATCCTCATACTTCTTGTTTTATTAGATGCATATGACTTCAGTTTAACCATAGTTGACTTGTAGTTATAGTTTTAGACATAAAAACATTTGTCTATAATCCATTCTGAGTGTTAGTAAAGATGTTATTTTGCAAATCTTTCTCTGATCTTAGGTTTGTAATAGTTTTAGTTTTTTCCAAATTAATTATTTGGGATTAAAACACAAATAAAGAAAAATGAAAGTAACAACAGTAATTGTCTCTTGTTTTTTAGGTGTAACAGTGTTTTAACTGTTTTCTGTCAATTCTGCTCTTTCTGTGAAAGACAAAGACTGTGTGTGAAATGTAGATTTGGTTGACCAGTACGCAGTAAATCCTGGTCAGCTCCCTAATTTTTAGCCCTGTGGTTATTACCTTCTCTACAAATCAATAATCCCTCCAAATGAGAGAGCTTTTGCTGGATTGAGCATCAAGGGAAATCTTAACCTACCGAGCAGAATGCGACAGAGAACCAGGGATTGTTATTACCGTAGAATAGCATTGTTGGGCACTCGTACTGGGAGTTTGTTTGGCCTCCAGTAAGATCTCTCGGAGGGCTGAAAAGCAGAGCCATCCCTCCGTGACGACAGCGGAGGTTGCAAGGCACTAAGACCCAGTGGAGAGCAGGGGAGGCTGGGTACTGCCTGCCCACCCGCCGCCTGCTCTGCACATCTCTGCGGTTCCTCTGGCGGAGTGAGGGAGCCTGTCTGTGAACGTGTGTGAGGTGGAGGACTGTCTGTGTCCACCTATTTGTGCATCACAGGCTACAGGACGGGGCCCCTCTCTCCCTTTCATTTTCTGCTCACTTTCTGCCTTCCCAATGTGGAGGGAGGACTTGGCTAGGAGAGAGGCGAGGGGACGGAGGTGTGTGCGGTGTTTGAAGGGAAGGAGAGAGGCGGGTGGTCAGCATGATGACGAGATGAAAGGGGCCAGGTGAGGAGGAGACACAGGACTCTCCTCCTCCCCATTCCTTCTCCCCGTCTCCCTCCCTCCCTCCCTCCCTCCCTCCCTCCCAGTGACGTGGTGTGTATGAGTGTTTGCTGTGTGTGTGGGTGAGAAAGCTAAACAGGTCGGCTGTGCCTCAACAGACTGTGAACCTGCACAGGAGGAAGCAGCCCTCTCCAGACGGAGGTATGTCACTGACTTCTCATCACTGTCATTTCCAGCCATACCTGCCACATTAACACAGGCTGTTTGGGAAGGTGGGAAGAGGTGGAGAATGTGACTCATGAGTATTTTTGTCACATCTTTCTGCTTTCATGTAAAGCGCTGAATGTCTGGAGATAGATCTTTTGCTTTACATGCAAAATCCCGCTCGTGGCGTGCATGTTGCTGCGGAGCACTTAAAATGCTTTGTAACGAGAGGCACATTTGAACAACAGGCTAGTTTTCTCCTCGGAGCAAACAGAGTGTCATGTGCATATGATAGGGTCATATGGCTCCAAGTCAGCAGTCCAAGATTCCGCACGACCTTATACTGTAGCTTTGTATGATTCTTTTGCAGCCAGTGCAACAGTGATTGAACTTAAACTGCACTGCTCTTGATGATTTAATTACATTATCCAGGACACTGTGCCGAATTGCTCTTTCCTTCCCTCAACAAATAGTTTTGTTTGTGCGGTTCAGACTTGATGGGATGAACTTTTTTTAAAATGGCTCTACTTTTTAGAGACATTTTTAGTTCAACAAAAGGTCCATTGAGAGTCTAAACCACTTCTCTTTAGGGCGATGTGGTGATGATTTGTTTCTTTTAAAAAGACATTGATGATGATTAGAGTAACATTTCCCAGACGGCTGCTCAACAGTTTTTCTGCCTCCCAGTTGTTTCAGTTGAAGGTGATTTTAACCCTTCGACCTGCTGAGCACAGATTACATTTCACCTTATTCCTGCGTCTGTCCATTGATTATTGTGTCGGATGAGCCCATTTGTGGGCCAGAGAAAAAGAGGTGCGTTGCAGAGACAAAGTCTATCACACTTCTGAAATGGAAAACTTGCACCTGCAGGTGTATAGCATATGGAAATGTACCACAGCATTTGTGCTCATTCCTCAGCCTTAACAGTGTGTGGGGTTGCATCCAGGGGAGGTTATGACAGTAAACACTGCCTACTCAATTGGCACACATGGAGATTCGAAGCTGAGGGCATTCCACCACCATATACTTACATTTCATACCATTTAGTACAGCTTCATGTACAAAAGGCATCTTTGCACAACTGTAAAGAAACACTGTCAAGATAATTGTCTTTATATGAAACACATTCATTGATCTTTCCCAGCATCACTCAAGACTGGAGGGAGTTCTGATGTGCTGAGATTTGCAGTTTATGTGCTCATCCACATTTTCTTGTTCACTCACTTAATGGGGACATATGGTCCAGTCTGTGCTTTTAGCTTCTCCCTGGGGTGCTGGCTGCCCTGAAAACACACATCTGAGGATGCAGATGTCAGATATATGGTAAATTATGACCTTGGCTGGAAACAAGCACAGAGTGCATCAAGTCTGATTATTTTTAAAAAGACAGCTAAGGGTCATAGCCTCACTCAGGAGTGCATTTAAAGCCATCTTTAATATTTCACTACAGCAACAACGTGTTGAATTGCTTGTGATCTGAATACCAGGATCAAGCATTTATAGGATTATAAATTACCTGAATCCTAATTTCCTGAATCTCTGAGTTTTTAAAACTTGAACATGATTGAGAATATCAACACTTTCTTGTACCAAACAGCTCTGCTTTTTTAATTCACTTTGTAAACTCTTGTAATTCACAACTGAACAATACCATCTCTTTTATTTCAGGTCCTTTCTAGCTGAGGGTAGCTTTTTGGAAAGAGGAGAACACATTCAGAATAAGCTGATCCTCAAGTTGGTGAGAGTTTACGTGACCATCTACAGGACTCCAGGCTAAAATCCACGTGGTTCTGGGCCAAAGCGCTTCCAACCACCATGCCTGAGATCACCACCTGAGCTTCTCAGTGACTCCCTACAACGGGAGAGGATGGGTGATGGGCCTGTGAAATTCAACAAACTCTCTCCTCATCATCCCATCCTCTCATGGAGCAACCTGTCACACCAAGCCCAAACTGGAACACAACTCTATCCACGTTTCAAGCCTCACTGCCAAACATCTCCAATGGGACTGCATCCTTTTCAAACACCCAACGAGGGATAGATCTGAATCAGTCCTTGGCACTGTGTGCTATGCTCATTATGGACGTTCTAGCAGTGGTGGGGAACTTGGCCGTTATGGTTGTCATCACTAAATCACCACAACTACGTAAGTTTGCCTTTGTGTTTCACCTCTGCCTGGTGGATCTGCTGGCAGCTTTGTTGGTGATGCCTCTGGGAATGGTGTCGGACCGGATCCTCGTGAATGAAGCATTGTGTCGGAGCTACCTATGCTTGAGTGTGTGTTTAGTGAGTGCTGCCATACTCACCATTTGTGCCATTAATGTGGAGCGGTACTACTACATTGTCCACCCCATGCGACATGAGGTTAAGATGACAGTCGGCGTGGTGGTGATGGTACTGGTGGGAATCTGGATAAAAGCCGTTGTCATGTCAATACTGCCCCTGCTAGGATGGCTGCTCCAGGGATCCCCAAATGTCGGGTCTCCCGATATCCTCTTTCCTGGTCAGAGACACTGTTCCCTCCACTGGACAGGAGGCAGGACCACACGCCTTCTTTTCATGGCCTTCTTCACAATCATCTATTTTCTTTGTCCCATGCTGATCATCCTGGTGGTCTACTGCAATATGTTCAAGGTAGCCCGTGTTGCAGCCATGCATCGTGGACCCCACCCTACTTGGATGGACACACCACGACAAAGGTCTGAGTCTGTCAGCAGCCATTCCACCATGGCAGCCAGCCTTGGAGGGATTGGTGCCCGTGCAACCCCTCAAAGGACCTTCAGCGGTGGGAAGGCTGCTGTGGTTTTTGTGGCAGTGGGAGGTCAATTCCTCTGCTGCTGGCTGCCATATTTCTCTTTCCACCTCTACTCAGCTATTATGTCTGCCCCTCCTGCCTCACTGGACCAGCTGGAGGATGTGGTCACGTGGATTGGATATTTCTGCTTTACCTCCAACCCTTTCTTCTATGGTTGTTTGAATCGGCAGATTCGTGAGGAGCTGAGCCGCCACCTGGCTTGCCTTTTCAAGAGGACTGGACCTAGTGAAGCCGAGCAGCTGCCCAGCCGTGAGGCCTCTATTGAGGAGAACTTTTTGCAGTTCCTTCAGGGCACTGGATGCAATCAGGAGCCCTGCAACTCTCACAGCAGACCCAGCCCCCAAGAGCCAGAGACTGAGGGCCTTCAGGAATCAGCTGTTGAGCAGAACACGCCAGCTGACTTCCACATCCCAGGGCAGATCCTTGAGGAAACCGCAGAGTTCATACAGCAGCAGCAACAGCTGAACAATGAGCTTCGTGTGTCAGAGAACTGCTGCAAAACTGTACCAGAGCTGTAGCTGCCTCGTGTACTGTTCATTTTGCTATATCATAATCAAATAAATATGTTTAGTTTTGTTCTTATTTTCTAGTATTTCTTGTTCATGCTGCAAGATGCTCTTAGGATAAAAGTCAGTCAAACTGCAAATCATGGTATCTTCTTTGAAGAATTGAAATGATGTAGCTTACAGTGAAAGATACATTTGCATCATTTTATTGCAGCATTACATATTTTTTGTGAGCCATACTGTGTAAGGCTGTTGTGCTCTGTGTTATGCCAGAAACAAAACCCCTGATGTGTTGGTTGAAGTTCAATGGCAGTTACAAACTTCACGAGGCTCTGAAAATGATCAAAAGTAAACTTCAGGGTAAAACGTTTTCATGGATTTTAAAAAAACTGTCAAAGCCACAAGTCTATCTTTGTTCTGATGACTACCTTCAACAAGTTCCCCTTACGTACCCATTTAAAATGAGATTTACCATTCACAATCTAACACAACCCTTTAAATCATCAAAACGATGTCAGTCATAATCGGACAAACGCACAACGCTGTCGCTGTCACATTTCTTTTATGTCAAACATGAAGTACTTCCAGTTGTTGCTTGTACTGAATTTGTGTTCACTTTGGTTTGTGTCTTAAAAGTTGAAAAGGCTCCTGGACAATCTCTTCCTTGTGACTTGTTGATACTAAAAGCTCTGCAGATTTTTGCAGTGACTCTCTTATAATGAAACAAATACATTTGGAACTGAGTCATCACATCTAAAAATTTGTTGTTTTTTTATTCAGTATGTGGGCTTTTTTTGCTGCCAGTTTATTTTGTGAATGACAGATCTGTTGTCATGTATTAATTCCTTTTCCACAATCAAAACCAAATCTGAAAAGCATTTCTCATTATAAAGGAGAGAGGTTTCAGAATATTCAGACGCATTCAACAAATGTGTCTCAGATTGGAGTATCCACTCTGCTGAAAAAGGTTGTTTCACTGCAGCTGCTGCTGGTATTTATGATAAACAGGCTCACCGAGTATTTTTAACCATTTTTCCAGAATGTTATTATCATGTTTATCTGTTCTTAGTCTTGTGATTATCACCTCCTTACCAAAATGGGAGACTCGTGATTTCAGCTCAAAGACAAACATTGTGGCTGGTTTAGTTTGTTTGACTGTGGTGGTGTTCAGGGTTTTTGGGCTTTAACGTTAGCATGCCGACAACATTTGGTATAACTGCTCATCGTAAAATATTTCGGACAACCAGTTCCCATTACCCTGTGATGTCTGTTTACAGGTAAACACTGGCGCAATGTGAGTGCTCTTGTGTTTGTGCAATAAACAACCCGGCTTGTTGTGGCTATACACAGCACACAGGTGTGACAATGCTTACACATGGCTTTGCTTTGCCTTTGGCCTCTTTTACCAACTAATGAAAGACACTGGAAACACTTTCTCCGATCTCAGGTGGAATACAAACACTTTGCACAAGTCACATGAGCAGTGACAAATGTTCCAAAGACGACTAAAAAGTCACAAATCTGTAAAAGCAAAATACTTGGCTCTCTTTTTATACTTGCTCTTTCCGGCTGCCTTAATCTATTTTGGACTGCCTCATATGGGACGGTTGGCATGATCACAAGACCTTCAACACAAGGCATACACGGAGGGTCCAGAGTTTGCTGGGAGTCAGAACAACAAAAAGGTCCCTTTGTCAGAAGAATACATAACATCCTTAATTTTTCCTGCTGTTTTTCCCGGACTGCTTTTTTCAGTCGGTGCTGTCTTTTCATATTGTTTTAAAATGCAGAATTTTGCACCAATGCAGCTGGAAATTATTTGCTGTCAAATCAGCAGATAACACTGAGCAAGAAGAAATCACAGTCCTCTGTATCACGTGTGTTTTAATTAATCTATTGACTAAAATGATTATGCAAACTCATTTTACACAAAGACAAAAACTGCCTTGTTTCTTTTTGCCACCAGCTCCCACAAACAACGGTTTTATCTGCTCAGATTGCCGCCAAATTGCCGCGAACAACCTCATGAATCGCTTTGAGCTCTGTTTCTGCCACCATCTGTCACAAAGATAAAGAAATAACCTATTCTTGAAGGTTAAAGGTGACTTACAATTCCAGATTTGAAGAATAAGCATGTACCTTTTTGACATTCGTTTCTAGTTTTCTTTTTTACATGGTGAATTGCCAGCATGGTGGTTTTCCTTTTCTGTTTCTCTTTGTTGTACCAAAGCTGGAAAGACTGTTTTGATGCTTTCTCTTCTATTGGTCAAGATTCCCCCTGTATATTTCCCATGAGCTGAACTCATTAAAGACACAGCAAGAATTTTAACTGGAGTGTTGTGGTCGATGCTGCTAAAAATATGTTCAGATCAATAATCCTACAAATCACATGAGACGTACCAACAATCCTGTCTTTTCTCTCCTGCCCTCCAGTTGCCTCCTCCTGCTCTGCGCTTCTGTGTGGTTGTGTGTGTGTGTACGTGTGTGTGTGCGGTGTAAGCAGGGGTTGCAGTGTCACAGAGGTGAACTGAGGCACTGAGATCAGGATGAAAGAGATGAAAGTGACATTTGCAGGAAAGCATGATACACAAAAACACTGAGCCAGGCTCTTTAGATGCATATTTCACCAGTTTTACACAAACTTCCTCAACACAAAGTGTGTTTTATCTGAGGAAAAATTCTTACCGCCTACCCTCAGTTTTTGGCGGTCAAACAAAAAAATCTAAACGTTTAAAAAATGGAATGACAAACATAATTTCCAGGAAGAGGCCGTCATAATTTTGTCCATTCCGTATTTGTCGAGTTGACGAGGCGCTTGTTTTTTTGCCCTTCTTCTCAATTTTCCGAGCATCCAGATTTTCATCCGCTCTCCTGTGCTGCTCTCCGTCGGACACAGTGACTCATGGCTTTCGCGTTGGGCGCTGTAGAGCGCCTCCTGTAGCGCGCAGCAACACTTCAGTCAGCCTGACCTTTTGTCACAGGCTATAACACGTTCAGTCACAGTGCTCAAGGACAGGTGCCACCATTATGTCACTCCGAAGGGTCACCGGGTGTACAGCGCACTCCATATGTGAATGAGTTTGGACACAAACAAAAACTCTCCAGCAAACAAAGAACTGTTGAGAGCACGTAAATAGAACACAGTGTAGAGGACGGATCAGAGATGAACTCAATTACATAAATCTGTCACCTACTTCCAAATCCTGACATCCTGAAATCAGCTGTTGCCTCGGTAACCTGCACTGATGGCAGTGATGAGTGTGTTCAGCGGGAAGAGGAGGAGGAGGCTGAAGCTGATCTGGCAAAAGTTATAAATGGAGCTAGACAAGTGCAACATGTAAGAAAATGCACTAAAAGTTTGTTGACCAGACAAATAACAACAGCTGTTAAGTTTCACCGTCCAGATATGCAGGAGAGAAATCTACTAATTTTAAACTAACTAATCATTGGCAACATGACAAACTCCTTTTAGTGTTACTCCCCACTGTTTAGAATTACTTATCTGGTTAGAAATATCAGAAAACCTGTCCAGCATTCCAATTTGCTTCAGAAGAAAGGAGGTTATTTCTCAAAACCAGTTAAATAGTTTTTTCTCATAAGAGGAAAAAACAATCGTGAGCCTAAAATGATTAATGAACTAATCAAGAAAATAGAAAATCCAGAATAAAAATGAAATTATTAGTATTTAACTGAAATATAGTGATTTATTATTGATTTAGAAAACCTAAAAACAAAATAGTCGTCTGCTTCTTTTGAGGCGTTCATAATCTGGTATTGGGTGTGATCATTTTGAATGCCATGTGAAATATACCCATAATTAAAGTATATTAACATGTGCCTATAAGCATACACTTAAATTGCCTTAAGTATGTACACCTCTTGATGGCAGAAAAGTGCCTTTTCTGTCATGGAGAGTAGATTCATTCAATCCAATTCCAATCACTAGCTGCAATACACCAGTGAGTCCTTTGGATGACGCTCTCACACCATAATAGACTCACGTTCTGAAATCAGAACTGGCAACAAACAAAAAACTGCACACGTGTTTCCAGCTTTTCAATTTAGTTATAAATGAGGGAGTCGGTTTTTATGAGCAGAAATGTTGCAAAAGTGGGCAACGCGGAGTCTGGGTCGAGATAAAAGCGCCTAGCTGGACGGCTAGAAGTAACTACATTTCCCGTCAGCCCCTTCGAAAGACTCAATTTTCCTTTTTCGGTTCGCAGCTGGATCGGAGGGAAGGAGGCGCTCCTGCGCAGCAGCAATCACTTTACTGGGGGGGGGAAATCGGTGCCTTATTGATCGTTTATTCTATAAATCAAGGACTAGTTACTAGTTACCTGATTTTTGTCTATATTAATACTGATTTTTCTTTAAGATTTGAGTGTTGAGAGGCGCTCCAGACCTGCAGATCATGTTGTATATGTCTATATGTATATATATAAAGAACAAAATATTTTGGGGGACTTTTTCTTTCTTCTGAATCTTATTGGGAATAATTTGAAGGGCCTGGGGTGAGTGGACGGAAGCTGTGTGAGCTCAGCAGCATCGGACAGCGCTTTCCGCGCCAACGCCTTCCTCCTCACACACACACACACACACACACACACACACACACATACACTGCGCTTCTCCCCCGGCTGGGAAACTTCAGCTCTCACACACACACACACCCACGGGCTGTCGGACGGCGTTTTCCTTCCACTGATGAGCAGCTGAACCCGCCGTGCTGCGTTCAGAAGTTGACTGGGAGCGAAAATGGGCTGCACGATCAGCGCGGAGGACAAGGCTGCGGGGGAGAGGAGTAAAATTATTGATCAAGTCTTAAAAAAAGACAGAGAGAAGTCCTCCAGAGAGGTGAAACTGCTTCTGTTGGGTATGAATGATATACAACTGTCTACCTATATCCTTTTCTTATGCTTGGAATTAGCTGTACCTCTGAATTTCACAGCCTTTCTTGACTCTTACTCTTTACTTTAGGAGACTATCCCCCCCCCCTCCTCCCCCCCTCTCCTCCCCCTTCTCTGCTGGTGACAGCAGCTGGAGCTCATCGTTTTTCTTTCTAACAGAGCTATCAGGGTTTTTTTTAAGTTCTTGGGAGGGTTAAGAGCGAGTCTTTGGCTGTCTCAACTAAAAGACAAATGCAAGGACTTTCAAAAAGACCATTTTTCCTTTGCACAGGTTTTTACAGACCCAGGTCACACTGCTTTAGGTCGGGTCATCTCTGTTAAAGACATCAGTCCAAAACGCTGTCATTCGTCTTTGAATGTCTGAATTCAGGCAGAGCGGTTTAGAAAACACTCGTGGACCCATAATGTCCTGAAGGTGTGAAACTCAGATAGTGACACGCGTGGCCATCGGGGCTGCTGGTACCAGTGAAATGTCATATTTGAGTGTTGCTTGTGTAAACCATTTACTCTGGACTAAGTCATTTTGGGGGTTTTTTTGGTTACTATTTTGCTGATGTGCCACCACAAATTGGCCAAACCGAACTGAAGCACTCCTTGCTTCCTTATAAGCCCTCCTGATGTGATGTTTGCCAGTCTCAGAGGGGACTTGGTGCATTTGAAGGCGTAAGGAAACAACTTTACAGATCTCATCTGACCTAAAAAAGATGAAAGTGCCGTGGCTCACCGGCTGTTACAGGCCGGAGCCATCAACCTCCCCAGATATCTGTCTGGGGTCTCCCCCGAAATTCCCAGAGATTTGAAACTTTCCTGATGAAAGTCTTTCTTCATTTTCCTCTTGTGGATATCCAATACAGTGGTAGATGTCAATGTTCATATTCCTTTGAGGTAAGAGCTCTGCTTTCTGTTGGGGGGAAGTTATTCTATCACATTGACTTGGCAACAAACCATCTGGAAACTCTTTATTGGTGTTGTTAACAATCCAATCGCCATGTCATATGTCACTCGGCAGTACTAACTAATTGTATACTATACTTGAATATCTTCTACTGAACTGACTTAGTGTTATTTATTAGTGGTCATTTAATCAAACTTTAATCAAAGTGTTTAGCTGCTGACGGAGACCTCTGGTAGGATTGACTTAAACCAAATACACAATGAGTTGTAATCAGTTGTGATGCACTGGGAAGGTGTCAGACCATATGAGTATCCAGAGGTTTTTGTGTGTGATGGCACTTGTAAGTTAACACTAATCAAACTCTGGGTTTGGACTGCATGGATTTGCCTCAGGGATTCAATTCTTCATAGCAGCATTTAACGTGAGCACACATGAGAAAACAAACACTCGAGAGAATCTTATGCATTTTGCGTTCAGATTTTGTGGGCTCAGTTGTTAAACTTAAAAAAAAATTATTCCGTACTGTCCTAGTAAAGAAGTAGTAGTGGCCATCATGATTTTGGGGTACAGCTTGTATAATTTGCCATCATATCACTTTGCTGGCACCATATGTGCCATCGGTGGGAACGTCATCTTGTACATTTTCTTTTTTTTTCTCAATATTTACCAAAGTTAGCAAAAAAAAGATATTCAAGCTGAATCTCACAACAGTGATCAGATAGATTTTAGATGTTGATATGTTTTTTATGTTTCAGCAGGGGAATTCTGCTTCAGTTCTTCAAAGTTTAACAGCTGTATTTTAAAGCTTTAATTAACAGAACAGCTGGTGTGGTGTTGTAATACACTGAAAACCATTTTTTGTAAGTGGGGTGCTCTTGAACGTGCCATGAAAACTGTCTCCACAGCCTGTGAAAGGAACGCCATGCTGAAAATGCGCTGGCATCTTATGGCGTTGGGGTGTTTTTTGGCTTTAAAGATGAGAGGAGCTGGTATGTCTGTATGAAATGAGACCCAAATGACCCCACTGAGCTCTCCCTGAAACTTCCTCTTTGATGGTCCCCTGAACCTTTTCTGGTTTGATTTGATCAGAGCTGACTTGAAAGCACCACGTAAGAAACGTCCTGTGTGATTTGTCTTCTTAACAGTAGTTTCATTGGTGCGGTGGGAAATCATGAAGCTGCTTCAGCGGAATTTGTGTGTGATTTGTCCTGACAAACCTCGTCTCGGCTGTGACATTTCTACGCACTGGAATGCATTCGCTCTGATCCAATGACCCACAGAGTCTGCAAAACAAGCAGATGACTTCATCAGATATGACCACTAAGCATCGAGGGTTACATATCGAGCCTTAGATCATGTTTTTCTGCACCTCACTCGTCCAAAGAAATCTCCCCAAACATCAGTTTTCAAATGTGTGAACGAGCAGTCTTTGAACTGATCTGAATCCCTGCGTTTGAAAGTCGGAAAGTCAGTGAAAGTCTGTTCGGTGGTTGTTCCCATACAATTGTGTATAAGAGATGCAGAACAATACTTTCGAAACACCTACTTCCTCTCATTTCCAAGCTCCAAGTGGGAAGTAACTATAGTTCATTTTTTTCGTTATCATGTATCAGACATGATTTGGGACATTTTGGTGTTAGCTAACATCCTGTAACAGCACAATGGAGGGCAGAATATTGTGTGGAAATACTCATTCTAGAATACTGACCAGAGAGCTTTTTCCAGGCAGTCACTCCCTGCATGTGCTGGAACAGGAGAGTTATAGGGGGGAAAACAAAGAGGCCACTGCTCTTTATTCAAAACCACAGAGTTTTAGAGCCAGCGCACTTTTCCAGTGCAAATGTTCTCCTGTTTGACCGCAAACAGTGATTCTTAAAAAAAAAAAGAAAAATCTGCATTTAAGATTCTTGTTAAATGAGGCTTGGTTTGGAGTCTGACTTGGGTGGGTTTGGACTATGACTGCCTGTGTAATGCTGGTTTGGGAGCTGGCAGGGGGCCCACGGTTGGTGCCTGGCCAAGAGATGCTGTGAATGAGAGGACTGGTGGCTGATGGAACTGAGGAGAGGGATCAACACAATTTGTCCTCTCCTCACTGTCTGTGTGACAAGCTTAAATCTCTTTTGCTGCTGTCAGCTTAACCAAAGAATTCACAGATTTAATTCCCGTTGTCCAGCCATCTGAACACCACACTCAACCCCTAATCCGCCTCGACAAATTTCAGCTGCTGAAGATTGGCGGTGCCAGTGCGGTTTGCCCCTTTTTCATGACAAAAAGTCAAATTTTCTTTATCCAAAACATGTTACGGTCATGAATTTTTGCTGGCTGTTTGGGAGGAAAAAGGAAGAACAAACAAACATATTTTAAATTCCAGGACCTTGAAACTTATTTATGCTGTGGTTTCTGATGATTGTGGTGGTAGCATTAAGCCAAATACTGCTCTACTGCCAGTTTAAACTCAGCCCAGATGTTTATGTCACTAAGGCCTCCGTAGTTTTCTGACCTCTAGTGTTAAATGCACACATAAGCTTTCATTGGCTCTTTAACCCAGTTGTTGAATTCCCACTTCTCCCTTTTTTAATCTGAAGCAAAATCAGCCCTTTTAATCAGTTTATTTGTTTAGACGCATGCCCACGTTCTAGTTTTCAGGGTTGTTCAGTCCAAGGCTGAAGGCATGAATTGAAAAGTAGACTTGACAACTATTTCTAATTCATGTTATCTGCGTCTGTGGCAGAGAAGTTTGTCAGCGCTATCTAAAGTTGCGGAAGATCAGTTCAACTCTAATGAAAAACTTGGTGGATCTATGGTGGGCGAGGTAAACAATACAGGTACCAGCGTGTTGAAACAGCGTTTAGTTATCTGTCATGTGTCTGGTTTTCCCCAGACGCTGGCAGTTGTTCTAAGGCCAAAAAAGTTTTCTGCCAACACCATAGTTCTAAAATCAGCTCAGCCTGATCTTTGTTTAATTTTAAACATCGTAAGCCGACAAAAGACAGAGATTTTAGTCCACCTGTTCGCACATTGGTCCCTCCATGTCCCAGTGGGTCATGGCAGACAATCAGGAATGTCTGATTGTGACTACAAATATCTTTTTTCAGTTGCTCTAGAGAAGTCTTTTTTTACTCTGATTGGAATCTTAATCCTGAATTATGTGATCATCTGCATTTAAAATAATTTTGTATTCATTTTGCTTTTGATTTTATTGCAATTCCAAAACATTTGACAAAAGGCAACTATTAAAATTACAAAATTTCCTGAGGAAACATATTTGTTCAAATCCAGCAGAAATCCAATTATCTCATTTTAAAACTACAAGAGTAAATTGAGTCTGATCAAGAGAAGCCATATCTCAATAAGTCACGATTCTTAATGCAACATAAACTGTCAAAGAAGTGGTTGCAGTGACACTTTTTCCATCTGTGGATTTAACCTTTGACAGCCACCTGTTTGCTTCAGGTTGAACAAATCTCCTTTGTTTTGTTTTTACGGTGTTTTTGTGTACACCATAAAACCAAAGCTGCATCCTAATCCCTGAGGTCAATGTTGGTACGTGACCATCAGAATGGTGTCAGTTTATTGTCAGAGCTTAATGACCTCTAAATAAACAACTGGGGAAATTCCACTGAAACTGATGTCCGTTCAACATCTCAGTTAGTCTCCTGAGCTTGTATACAGACGATTAGAAGATTAACTTCTACTAAACACATCTGTAAAATTTGTGATTTTTGGGAAAATAATAGCATTTGATATTAAATCTTCTGAGCCAATAGACAGAAAACTGGGAGAAAAACTTAATACCTACACACTTTTAGTATGCAGGTATTAACATATTGTTAGTATATAGGTATTCACACATCCTTTAATGACTCGGAGTATTGCATGTTGCTGTTGAGATTTTATGGCAAATATCATTTAGATTTAAAGAGACAAATACCACTTCTATTATCCTGTGCTTTGGGGTCTGATTTGGGGAACAGGTTTGTTTGTTATTAGGGAGCTTCGCGTTGCGGAACTGGGAGTGAAAAATGGTATTTTTGTGCTTTCTCTGCTGTGTGACGCCTGGAACAATATGATATCTGGGATTGACTCTCCAGTGGAAAAACACTGTCACAGCCAGAGGGATGACTGCTGCTTCCTGTTTGACTGATTGTAGTAGAAATACTTTGAGTCACTTACGTGAAATTATTTTCCTGGTCATTATTATTACAAATCAAATATTGTGATGTTAACATTGGGAGACTCTGACATCACTTGTTCGACCCAGTTACTCATCCGTCACATATGCTGAACCCTGTGAAAGGCGCGGCCCATTTCTCCACATGACACTGCTGTTATTTTCTATGGCCAGAGGAGATTAAGTGCACTCATACACCTAAACCGCTGACTGTTATGTTGCCTTATAGATCGTGCCCCAGGCTTCATGTAAATATCTGCTGCTGTAATGCATCACAAGGCAGAATTTTCCTGGGAATTTTGGCACAAGTACACTGTGTTATGTTTAATGCCTGATTTGTGACATTCAAACTTATTTTAGCTATTATCAGGCGTCAGCCTCGACTCTTGAATCCTAATTTTCACACTTTTTTCTTTTTCCAGGTGCTGGGGAATCTGGGAAAAGCACAATAGTAAAGCAGATGAAGTAAGTTATAACATGTATCACGTACGGAAAAGCAGTGCTTATGATATATCAAACTTCCTGTAAGAGACTTTTGTGCTATTTTCGAGTTTCACTGATGAAAGACAGGCCCTCTCCCTCCTTTAGCTGCCAGCCCACTGAGTTCGTTCGGGGAAATGCTGCTGAGGCAGAGGAGCCTCATTTTGCTCCGCTTCATCAGACAAGGGAGCCCCCTTTTTTCATAACTTGCCAAACAATAGCTACAAGAGGCCAGTTTTAGCCTGGGAGGACATGAATAGAGTCTCCCAGTTCCCACATTAGGCACGCGTTATGCTCACTGAGGTTAGAATCCCAACACAAATGACAGCGCTGCATGAAAACCTCCGAATGCGGAACATTTTTTGCACATTTGTCATAGCATTTGTTCCCACTTCTTCTATTTACATCAACTGTAAATGCTCATTTGGTGTCTGTTTCAGAATCATACATGAAGATGGCTACTCGGAGGAGGAGTGCATGCAGTACAAAGTAGTGGTGTACAGCAACACCATCCAGTCCATCATGGCTATCATCAGAGCAATGGGCCAGCTGAAGATAGACTTTGGGAATGCTGCACGGGGGGTAAGCTAACAGCCGCTTCCTCATTTGTGATATGAACCACCAGTGGAACTATTTAGCAGTGTCAGCAGTTATTGATTTTGTTTCTAGGAAGATGCTCGCCAGCTGTTTGCCCTGGCGAGCACGGCGGAGGAAGGGGCCATGTCTGCAGAGCTGACTGGTGTAATTCAAAGGTTGTGGAGTGACAGCGGGGTTCAGTCGTGCTTCGATCGATCACGAGAGTATCAGCTCAACGACTCCGCCGCATAGTGAGGACTACACACAAAGCCCCACACACGAAACAGTTTCCAGCTACAGGACTAAGAACACATGGATCCGTACCCAATACAGCCCTTAAGTTGTATTAGTCTACTAATGAAAGGAGATGCTTTTGACAGAAAGGAACTTAGTCATAGCTTTGGCTTTATTTACGGCCGTAACATTTTTACTGGATTGCAAAGGAAGGCGTGACATGTCTTGTCCTCGCTGGTCTTGTGTCAGCTTGTTTCACAGCTGATTGCAACAGCAGCGAACAGCAGAGAAACTGATATCTGAAAAACAATGTTCGCTCACAGCCATTTGTGAGCGCTTTTGATACTGGTGGCAGGCTGGAAGGATAGTTAGCCACAGAAGGAAACTGTTCCCTAAACAAATACAGACAAAGTGTTTTGGACTAAATATAGCGCCGTCTGGTAGCACCAGTCAGGCTTGGGTAAAGCTGAAGGTTTCTCTGCTTCTCCTCATATCCCGCTCATCCTGAGAGAAAAAAAGTCATTTAGAGTGAAGGACATGTTCTTTGTTGTGAAAACAGACCAGTTGTCATGACTTTTCCGCGCACTTTGTCCCCAATGTGCGACAAGAGGAACCAGCGCGTTGGTCTGTTTTTACTCAACCCTCGAGAAGCTAATGTTTATCATACATGAAAATATGAGCCCATATTTAGTATCGTTCCGAGCCGTCCTCTGATGTGCCTTTGCAGAGTAACCCCCCCCCCCCGATGACAGGCGTGTTCTCGCTCGTAGCCCAAGTTTTCAAAGCTTCAAAATGGCTTTCATTTCAAATCAGGACGTCAAAAGAAAGAAAAATCACACCCGATTGTGGGAAGCTGTCTGTGCTGAAAATGAGCTCATGTGGATTGTTTACAGGTGTAAATGTGTCGTGCGCTCTTAGATGATGCCATCTTTCTGCCCCTCAGCTACCTGAATGACTTGGACAGGATCTGCGAGACAAATTACATCCCAACCCAGCAGGACGTGCTGCGGACACGTGTGAAGACCACTGGCATCGTGGAAACTCACTTTACCTTCAAAGAGCTCTACTTCAAGTCAGTAACAGCAGCATCTGCTCATGGCTGACCTCGGGTGCCACTAAACAGCTCAGCAGTTGGAGCTTTAGCTGGTTTACTGTATGATGTCGTGTTAAGATAGACGTTTGCACACAAGCCATCAGATGGAAGACATGGATAATTCTTTGTCAAGTTTAAGCTTGATAAAACTTGGATGTTGTTAGTTTTTAGCTTTGTTTTCAGAAGCTTACAGAAATAATTGATTGATTGATTCATATGGGATACCGTTTACCAGTGTTTACAAGTCTCTTTTGTGAACTGCAGGTTTTGGTGCACTGGTTATTGACATTAAATATCATCACAGTGCACTAAACATCATCTGGACTGGGCAGGTCCTCCAAACGTCTGTTAACCGATCCTGTTCTGATCCCAATTCTGATATAGTAGCGGCAAAACAAACCTACCTAAATGTATATTGCTTTCATCATGTTCTCCTGTGACATACACTGTTACTTTCACTTACAGCTTGTTCACAGATGCTCGGATGATGTCACTTTGACAAACCGAACATGCAAATTGCATTTCCTGAACACTGGTGGAGTTCAGTCTCAAACTGCCGACTCGCCTTCATACCAACAAGACTTTACCCTTCTTTATATTGTTTTATCTAACTGCTGTACTCGTAAACCCTGCTGTATCATTAACTTCAACAGTCTCTGTCATCTGACTTTGTAGAGCAATAAAACACCCAGGACATAGAAAATGTGTAATGGCTAGGTGCAGCAGCACACAGAGATTATTCCTTTCATTTCTGTGTCAGCTTAGCATAGCTTGAGTTTGCCTCCCGGGGCCTCAGGTGGAGGCAGAGGCAGCACACACAAACAGGGGATTACGAAGTGAGATCACCAGCATGGCTCATGGGGTGTTTTGTGCTCCGGCCCTGGATTTAAGATCCACAGAAATCACCGATACTGAAATTAAATTAAACCGTCATGACTCATTTATTAATGAAGTAACTGGTTCTGTGTGTGTCCTCAGGATGTTTGATGTTGGAGGTCAGCGCTCAGAGAGAAAGAAGTGGATCCATTGTTTTGAGGGAGTCACTGCAATCATTTTCTGTGTGGCGCTCAGTGACTATGACCTTGTCCTGGCGGAGGATGAGGAGATGGTAAGCAATGGACACACAGTGGTCAGACTGATTGTGAATTACTAATCCTGGAATTGGCAACCATGAAGGAACCTAATTGGAATTTATTGTCTGCAGACATTAAGCTCTAGAGGGCTATTACAACCAAGCTTGGCCAAATCTGATTTAATTCTGTGTTGATTAATTATAATAACTTGTAAACTGGTTAGGCTCCATGTGGTAGGCAGCAAATGATGATTATACTTAACTCTGGCTCGGGGTCTGGCAAGAAGAAAGAAATTATTTACATGGATTCAGTCTAAGAAATGTTACCATTTGCCGACAACAATCGAGGGGTACCTGTTTGATTTTTTTTAAACCCAGACAATAACACACTGACGCCATGATGGCTACTTGGATTTTTAGATTCAGTCAGTGTTCTCTCAAAAACCAATACAGGGATGGTAAATTGTTCCCAAATACACAACAATAGTGGTCAAAAGTCAGGTTAAAACTCAATCATTCACATACTTATTTAATGTTTGTATGTTTATATATAATCTGATTCAGCTTTTTTTTTTAATTAGCATAACCCTGTTAGGAAGAAGGCTTGTACCTCAACACTGAAATGATAAATGCATTGCAAGGGACACAAAAGCAGTAATAAGGGATTTATATTCACACTTTCCTTTAAAACCATATTTCTCAATCTTTAGAAATACTCTTCATATGATGTGCAGTGATCAGCCCAACACTGAAACCACCAGGATAGTGATGCTTCCTCTTTCAGCGACAAAGCAACCAATTGTCTAACTTCAAATAAAACTGCACACATGTTGACTAATGTACAAACCGACTCCGTCGCAGTTTCCCCTAAGTAGTTTGTTATCACGTGAAAGGTCACGCAGTAATAACAGACCACCATATTCCCACGCTCCGTGTACTTGCATCCATGAGTTATCGATTTCGGTTCTGCATACCACCGACAATTTTTTCAACTGTTGTCAATCTATATCAAACATGATATTGACCCGTCATACAGGGAGAATAGTGTGTTTTACTCAGCACAATGGCAATGGTTTTGCTGTGTTTATGTATCTGTAATCCAAAGTAATGACATGACACAGCACATCTGAGTTTGGACACTGAAAACTGTGCGATCCTACTGACTTCTTATGATGCCGGTAGTACATGTGGCTTTTCATTCATTTGCCACACAGAGCCAACTCAGCATGGCCAGCATGTGTCACTCTCTGACCTACATTCAGATTGAGAGGTTTGACATCAGCTGGCACCGAGCAGTACTCTGCCTATAGGGTTTCGAAGCACTTCATTGAAAGCCTTCTGTTTGAGAGGCCTATCAAGGGGCAAGTTCACAACTGCTGTTTTTCTCAGAACCGGATGCACGAGAGCATGAAGCTTTTCGACTCCATCTGCAACAACAAGTGGTTCACACGCACGTCCATCATCCTCTTCCTCAACAAGAAGGACTTGTTTGAAGAGAAGATCAGCAGGAGCCCGATCACTATCTGCTACCCCGAATACTCTGGTGAGACAAAGGCTGTATACGCGCTTTGCTGGGGGTCTCACGTTAAATCCCTCAGCCTATGTGCAATTACTTTCTGAAGGCAGCTCAACATCTCCAGATGATTTATTACTGTTTGCATTTTCACAAACAGGACAATAAAAAACCCCACGTATGTCACATCTGTTTATCTTTAAAGTAAACCAAGCGCATCAACAAACAGATGATCCCTAAAATAGTCAGAAAGCGTATCCCACATGAAATCAGCTTTGAAAGATAAACTATGAATTGTTCTTTTTATTTTTGCATTTGAAATAAAAGAAAAAAACAGCTACATGTGCCAAAGAGCAATAAAAACACAAACCTGCATCGACAAAGATCACCACCGGAGGCCTTCAGTTTTCAGCAGTGGAAAAAAAAAAAGAAACCGCTCACATGTCTGTTTTTTTCCTCTGTTTTTTTTTTCTTACTGTAGGTGGGAGCTCGTACGAAGACGCAGCAGCTTATATTCAGTGCCAGTTTGAAGACTTAAACAGACAAAAGGACAAAAAGGACATCTACACCCATTTCACATGTGCCACAGACACCAAGAATGTGCAGTTTGTGTTTGATGCTGTCACTGACGTCATCATTAAGTTCAACCTTTCGGAGATTGGACTGTACTGAAGCTCCGGCACACCTGCAAGGTCAGCATTCTGATTTTTAGAGCACTAAAACGACATGGGAACATTCACTAATCCAGCAGTATGCCGGAGGGGTGCATAACCCCGCACAAATGCCCCCTGATAACAGATTTTAGCATTTTGATGACTTAAGACTGAGATGGCGTGCACACAATTTTTTAGCATCTGCCAACGTAAAAAAAAAAGATTTTACGTCTGTGTTTCCAGAATGGTTACTAGGGTTATGTCTGCATGAAAATGCTATGACAGCAATCCGGTCAGCTTCAGATGTTGAGCTGTAGATTAATAATAACACTGAACACAAACTGTTCCAAATAGATAAATTACTAATATAGTTGTGTATTCATCAATTTCACATAGTCACAAGTCTGGGTTTATGGAAAGCTCTAACTTTTTCCTTTCTGTGTGTCACAGGTTTGTCTTTCTTTGAATATTTATGTTTATTTTGATTTTTCTTTCAGGTTTTTTGGAAGAATCTGGACTTTTGGAATGTCTCTTCCACAGATAAACATGGAAATTAGAAAGTAGGTTTTAATAAGGACTGAGCACGTTGTCGTGGCAGACAGAGGACGTACACTGTACAGAATTTTTGGACTTGCAACAATAATCCTTTTTTCAAAATAGATGTGGAGCGCTCTGTGAGAGGCACTTTGGGGTTCGCTGGTGAAGTAATCACTGTAACTCCATCAATCAGGCAGGTGGTGTCACTCCAATGCCTCATTTGTAGTATGCCTGTGATCTGCAGAGAAAACCAAAATCTGTTTAAGATCCATCATTGCATTTCATCGTAGCTTCACAGCTGAAAAATTAATTTTGTTCACAGTTCGCTTTTGTGTTGTCTTTTCTTAGATGTATACTGTATGTCTGTGAAGTACTTTTCAATGAGTATTTGTATTTGTTATGTTTTATGTAGTGGCATTCATATCGCTTTCACTTCTTTGGATGTGTGGTTTTAATAACTTATTAACTTGACAGAGTTCCTTGTGAGTAGTTTTATGTCCTGTGCATAAACTAATTGTTTGGGATTGGTATTGCATAGCTAGTCTAATGATTTCAATAGCACTTTTGATGTCAAATTAGTTACCTAAAATTAGTTCTATAAATTCCAAGTTGACCATATAACATGCAATAATCTGTTTCTTCAAAAGACATATCGCTGCAAATCAGTCTGTTAAGACATATGATTTATTCTTGTCATATTGTTTTTTTTTTCTACATTAGATTTTGAATACCATTTACAGCATAAACAAGGTTGAGGGTGGTGTAGTATGTGCCGTTCCCTTAAGGTAAAGCTAAATTATATGGATAATAGTAACATTAAGACTTAAAAACATTAAAATTGTGTAATACGGCAATGTCTGGGTTAGAGAATTGCTTCCCACTGCGAAAAAAATCGTAATACCTTTGTTTATTGAGGAGCAGATATTGTGGCTCATTCTTTAATTAATTAATTATGCCACAAAGCTCTCAGTTTACTATTGAGTTGCTATGAAGTCATATTAATCTATCCCTGTACAGTAAATTACCATAAATCTTGCCCCTCTGATTTATTACATTTTTCATTTGTTTTGCTATCTTGGTAATGAAGTTCCATACTCGGCCATTTCCCCTCCAAATAGAAACGGGAACTTGTGTAACAGCCACTACAACTAATAGCCCGAGGCTGTGCTGACAGCCCTGTTTCCCTAATTCGATATACACTGTTCAGTGGATGACAGTGTGACTCTGCAGTGAAGACACAGACACACAAGTGAGGTTAATACATCTTTATTTCATGCCTCTACATTTCATAAGAAAGAACAGATTTTCGTTCCATTGTCATAATAAAGCATCAACCCTCTAGTGATTCCCTCTTTCATATATTTCCATGTAATTTGTCTCCCAAAATATAATCATCTACTTTTATGTACAAAGTCTCCCTATTAGTTGATGTTGTGAAATTTATACATCACATTAAATTGTTAAGTGAAGTGATTACATTAACACTATTTAGATTACATACATGCACAATTTGGTTTGTAATCTGGATATACTGCAAGCACTGGGAATATCTGAGATATTTTCTCAGCAACTTTTCACAGTTTAAGTATCAAGACCACAGAGACTACTGTACTCAAAAAACAAAAACAATGTTGCGATGTCTCTATTCAGAACATTTAAATTCTTCCTGGATCGCTTTATTCTTTTTATGGAGCTTGGCTTTAAACGTAAATATAACTCACAACTCAGTTGTCAAATGAACAACCCAGGAGCAGCTATTTCATCATCATATCTTCAAAGCCGTTTGTGTGAGACAAATACTGTGTCTGTGAGTCCCAAATGTCGGAGTGGTGATTTCATAGTTGTTTCAACCCAGCTGGACAGGCAGGGATGTACTGTTTTAGATGGTGAGGTTCTATGGAAGCATGTGAGGACCAGGAGTTGGCATGGAGGCGATGGCATAGCACAATAGTCTGTGGATCCTCTGTGCTCCATCAGCACACTTCTAATGCCAATATGTGAGGGGTTAAGGTCGGAAAGGATAGTCTGTAAAGTGGAGAAGGTAACACATGAGTGGAACATGTTGAAAAAAATCTGAAATCATAAATCAAATCTCTTTGCTGTCGTTAATGGTAAACATGGTGCTACATCTGCAGGTTCAGAGAATTTCCAATTTAAAGTTGAGAACTGATTTTTATCACCAGTCTCTGTAGGAATTGCATCATTCTTCTTGTTATCTTTGTCATCCTCAACTAAATTGTGTTACTTTGTATTTGCTCATATTTTGGCCAGATGTTGTTGCCTGGCAACACAGGATGGCCAGAACTGAGTTGCTTTTTGAGGGGGTAAATTGAATCGGCAGGAGACTGCCTCATCTGGGCCCTTACTACTCTATGTGAGCACAGCTCTAAAAGTGATGAAGTATAGTCACCGTGCACCTTTCTTCAGTCTGGAGCCGCTCAGAAAAGACCGCAGTCTTTAAGGTTTTCTTTGATGATGATGTCTGTCACGGCGTTGAACACGATCTCAACGTTCTTTGTGTCTGTGGCACAGGTCAAGTGGGAGTAGATTTCTTTCTGACCCTTCTTCATGTTCAGCTCCTCGAACTGTGCCTTGATGTAGTTGCTGGCGTCATCGTATGTGTTGGGCCCTTTGAGAACAAAAACAACAGAAATCTCAAACAACTGTTTGAATAACAGAAAAACATCAATTTACCAACTGTCTTTGACCCACAAGATTCCCTATTTGTGTAATTAAGTCTCATTGTTTAGACTTTATTTAAACATTGTTCAGGGAAAATTGTAAATAACTATTTTTTTGTTATATTCTTGTGCTATTATCCAGTTAGGTGTTGTTGGAAATGAATCTGTGCCTGACCGTGCCTTGTCAGAAAGTGCGAGTCATGCTTTTTCTGTGCAGATAGCATACTGAACTTCTCTATTCTAAGACTACGACAAACTCTCCAGAGCTCAACATGCAGCAGATCTACCCCTGAACGATGAAAGCTGTTTCAGTTCATCTTACCGTCATAGTCTGGGAAGCAAATGCTCAGATGGACTTTCTTGATCTTCTCTTCGAAGAGATCCTTCTTGTTGAGGAAAAGCACGATGGATGTCAGGGCAAAGAATCTGTGGTTGCAGATACTGTTGAATAGATGAAGGGACTCGTGCATGCGGTTCTGAAAAGGTCAGGGAGGAAGATTGAGAGTCACTAACTTTCTCATTGTGCTTTTGATACTTCTTCAACCACATTGCGGCAGTTCTCACTCACCACTTCATCATCCTCTACGAGCACCATGTCGTATGCACTGAGAGCTCCACAGAAGATGATGCAGGTCACACCCTCAAAACAATGGATCCACTTCTTTCTCTCTGACCTCTGGCCACCCACATCAAACATCCTGTTCACCAGGGAAAGAAATCCCATTCTCAATCAGTGTCTGTATGAAGCCGTGCTGGGAGGGTAAAATAGAGCCACCTGTAGCTCACCTAAAGTGCAGTTCTTTGCAGGAGAACTGTTCCTCGATGATACCAGTTGTTTTGACTCGAGATCGCAGCACATCCTGCTCAGTGGGGAGATAGTCGGACTTGCAGATTCTGTCCATTTCAGACAGGTAGCTGAATATAATGAGAAAAAAGGAGCTCAGTGAATCATCATTTAAATATCCTCCCATTAATGGATGCTTAGTCAATTTTGATGTAAAACCAGTTATCCATCAGTTCCAATGAAAGATAAACACTTACTAGCCAGCTGAGTCGTTCAGTTGGAACTCAGCAGCTCTCTCAAAGGCAGCCTCCACACCAGAATCCTTCCAGAGCTTCTGGATGACATCAGCTAGCTCAGGGGGCATTGTGCCTTCTTCAATGGAGTCTGACAAGTTCTGCAGCTTCTGTGCATCCTCCTGTGTTTTGACACACAACAAACCAAGATCCATCAGCCCTTACTCGATCAGTACTATTTATAGTATGGTTTATAGTAAGTGGGAATGAACCCGACATATCTGGTGTGCAAATTTTAGGTGCAATATGAGACCTGTCCAGAGGGTGATCCAAAATCAATGCCAAGCATTTCCATTCCTCTAATGATAGCCAGGGCAGACTGTAGGATGTTGCCATAGATGACAGCTCTAAATTCCAATTGCTCTTCTTTTGTGTAACCACCTTGATGCAAAATCCTGTGCGCAGGAGGAGGAATTGAAAGAGTTAATGAATGTAAATGAAAAAAAAAATAAAACATTGTCTGAGGTGTCTGTGTATAATTGACATGTCACATCCTCTTTCTCCAGTTTTGGAGCTCTGTCAGTGTCTTTATCCTGTTGATCTAATGCTCACAGTGCCACCTTGTGGACTGTTTTCCACTTTGTTTTCAATTGTGACAAACAAGTCCTGTAAAATCGGCCACTGGATGTAACTCTGTAACTCTGTCAAGGATACACACTCACCCCCTTCAAAATGGGCATTATTTTAAACTTACTTCATTTGTTTTACAATGGTGCTTTTCCCA